TTGCATATCCCATAAAATTTTTTTAAAAGGATTCAAATTTTAATTCTGCGTCATTGACCTGCGGCTCAACATTGTTATGCCTGTCAAAATTTGACCTAATTATTTAATATGTCACATATAGGCTTCCGTGCTGGAGATTAACAAATATGGGGAATCAATTAAGACAGCAATACACACACCAAGGTGCATATCTGAAATGTTTGTTTCAAAGTCGTTGGTAAATATTAGTTAAAATGAACAGTAGTATAGTATATGCTAGAAATGCTCCTTGGATGACATTTTGATTAACGTAGTTCTACTGAATGAAATCACAAACCAGTAAAATGTCTTATTACATCACAAATAATACATCAATGAATTTATTTCAGCAACATTGAAGTGAAAAAAAGATTAATTATTCATTTGTTATCATTATTTTGTTTTTGTATGCACAGATATATTTGAAAATTTTATTTAGAATAAGAATTACCTTCAAGTATTGTCTCAAATCAAAGTAGATATAATTAAATAACTTATTAACCACTTAAGGCAATAAGACTGGTATGTTCTTCAATCGAGTGTTTATGTTTAAATGGATAAAAATACTTTATAGTTTCAATAACCTATATTATAAAAATAATTCCTAACATGATATTTTGTTGTTTTATGTTTTTTACAAATATCATTGTTGGGTAAATGAAAATGTTCCACTTTTCTACCTCACTGAATTGTATGCATTAAAACTATTTATTTGAGATTACAGTGTTTTTATTTTGACATCTCTTAAGGTACAGTAGTATTCATCCCTTTGAACCTTAAGGGGTATTAAATTAATCAAACTTGGTCTATTTGTTAGTTTGTTTTTCCAAGCAATTTTACTATACAGTGTGTGTCACAGTAATAATACAGTATGTGTATAATAAAATATGAGACATTATATGTTGCGTCTTTCCAAAAGAAACAAATACAAAATTGGGGGGAAAAAGGACTTTGGGGACTGAAAATAACATTTTCTATAGTCATATTGGAGGAATTTGTACAGGTGTTGTGCAGATACAAAAGTAAAAGAGCAAGAGTCCAACATGGTAAATTACTGAAGGTGTTTATAAAAGGATGAATGTCAAATAAATTTATTAAAAAACATAGAGATTCGTACAAACAGCAAACCACTGCAAAGAACTGCAGATTTTAGTCAAGGTTGGCTTAATTGAACTGAGTTATTTTAATCTAAAACTTGGGGAGAGAATGCCAATTTCAAGGTACAGTATCGAGTCAAAGGTGAAACATTTTGTTGGTTTTACACTTCAAATACAGCTAAAAACCCATACAAATGACAACCTGGAAATCAAACAACTTTGGTTTGTATAAGTTTTTTATTAAGTTAACATATTTCCATAGATAGGCATCTTTGGCTTATAAATTCTAAATATTTACAAATATTGAGATACTCAGGTTGAATTAATGATATTATAGTTTACAAAATAAATATGCTGTATTAATTTGCTACTCAGCTAATTACTAGTTTAAAACCTTAGAAGGAACAAAAATATATGGGAGGGATTGCTTTTAATATGAGCAAAAGTTTCTATTGTTAAGCTAAAATAACTATGAGTTATCAAAATTATAATTTTGAGTGAATCATCCTACTTGCAAAATGATTGTTTCCTATTTTCCCACAGCAAGATGGCCATATAACAAAAGATTAAAACAATGTACAAGGGAGCTAGAAAACTTCTTGTCCCTGCACAACTGTAAAAAAGTAAATTGCTCTTAAAAATTATTTAATAATGTCCAACATTTTTCAATCGTACATAATATTTATTTATATACTCTTTTCTTTTTTCTAACTTACAAAAATTTATAAAGAACACAAAAGAGAATATTATTTTGTATTATCTCCAATTTAGTCTCCATTGGAATTAGTTATACAAAAAGTTACTCCAGTGAACTATAGTTCATGCTTTAAATACATTTGTAAGAATAAGTATACAGTAACATTAAAAAGATTTTGTTTCTTACTAAGAATTCCACAAGCATAACTGTATACAGTTTTCATCAAGGTTTAATTTTTCATATCACAAGCAAAACTAAACACTGTGAAATGATCAAACCACTGACCCTACTTGTTATCACATTGTACAATCAAAAGGCACAAAATCTACTTCTACTTTGAATACTATAATGGCTCATATTTATAATCAAACATTTGAAGCGGAGCAATATCAACAAATATCAACTGCATTGGACATAATATTGTTTCTTTTCAAAACAAGTATTACAGTAAATACAAATTTTATGCATACGGTATTATTTTTTAAATTTAATTACAGTACTGTACTATGTTTGTGCTGTCTGTTTAGGAAAAAATGCAACACAAAATTATATAAACTAAATAATATTGATACATTTTGTGCCTTATATATACATATCACCAAAGATAAAGTCATCAAACTACTGCATGGTTTGTAATAGATTTTTGTCTCTTCAAAGATTTTTTTAAAGGAGGTGGAGGAACAACCTCAAGAAAGTTTTAGTTGGTCGAAGATGATGCTGAAAGTAAGATTATTTATAACCCCCCATTAGGTATTTAACGGTCACTTTGTTGTAACTGCAACACGTTTTTTTCATTTAGAAACTTTGAATGTGGATGATAAAAAAAACGTAGCACATGTATAAAAAATATAAATATATGTGTAAAAATAATATATCACACACATTTTCTGGTAATTATGGTGTATATAGGCTATATGAAAAATGGGTGATATTGAAACTTTTATATGTGGGATGTTACATAATTTATTTTGACCACTTACTCAAGGTTGGGTTGAGTTTGTTGTTTTCGATCCAGGTTTATTGGATGTGAACAGTAGTTTTATGAAATGATCTTAATGTGCTTTTAATCCACCGTGCATCCTACCCAAAAGTACAGTCCACCGTGCATCCCACTCAAGGTACAGTCCAATTCAGAACTATAGACTGGATTGAATAAACATCCAGTCAGTTTTAAACAATATCTCTTCTGTGTATTTTCTGGTAATACAATATAATTAATTAGGATTTCTTATATCTAAAATAAATAAAATTATTATTTACAGTTAGCTATCCACACAATATATTTTTTTAAGATTTCCTGAATGAAAGCAAACCAATTTTTTAAATCACACCACGGATAAGTAGGGTACAGAGGAAACATCCAATGGTACACCGGTGGTGTCTAGCACCAGTCGCTGGTGTCTAGGACAAAGTCCAACACCACCCCACTTGCTCTCATGTACTACAATGATCACGGTGCAATGGACAGTACTTGCCGCTCGGGCTCTTCCTTGACCAGCAAGACATACTAGAGCTGCATACGCACAGTCGTCCTGTAAGCGAGTTTCCTCTGTACCTTGCTTTTCTGTGATCACACCAAAATTATTTAAATCATTTAAAGAACTAAAGCCAAAGCTAAAACGAGGTCATCACATGATTTAAACAATTATAGTAAAAAGAATACTTTTAAAAATTAAAAAAAATAAATCAACATGCCATAAAAGCTGCTATAATGAATTATAGTATGGGTAGCAAAATGGTTTTTGTGCTTGCTTACAAGACTAGGGTTTGAACCGTTCTATAACAAAAATGTTTAACATTTCCAGGGAGTAGATATACCCCAAAAAGTTAGTAGGAAATTTTGATAAAATACTTTAACACTAATACCGAAACCCCACCTAGGCTGACGTTAACCGAAACCCCCGGTCTGTGAGACCCCATTTGAAAAATAATGGACCCTGTTTAGAAACACACAAACCGAAACCCTCGGTCTGTGAGACCCCGCTTTAAAATACACTAACGCTTGGCTTCTGAGACGGACATGTTATGAACAGACGACCTGTCAAGGTCACGGCACCCATGCAAAATGAACAAACGATATATCAGTAGGTAGGGAAGGAAAAGGGGGGAAGGTATTGGGGGAATGGAATCTACCAAGTAAACAGTGTTGCCAACATGCGTTTTTGAAAATTCCCGTGGGCCTGTCAGACCGGGGTTTCGGTATTAGTGTTAAACAAAAACCATTGAGACAACATGGTTCAGTTAAATTCTTATTGTAGCCTAAGAACTAGCTTTTTTATTACATGCTAAATTAAAGGTTTTTATTGTCAAATTAGAATAGTTTAAAGAAGTAAATTAAAACAACTGTGCACTCTGAAATTAGTATTTTTTTCTTGAAGTTTGGAACTGTTAGTTAACATCCAACCAACTGGATGATGGATGGATGCAAGTTAAACTTCATCTTTCGGAAAAGCTGAGAAATACAGATAGTTCTATTCATCAAACCTAAAGAATCACTAAAGCCATTAGACAAATAACAAATCTCAATCTCCACCACAAACAGTTCCAAAAGTATGTGAACCAACAATGGTGAGGCAAAACATTAAACTAGATCAAGCTTGACAGCTATTTAAAAGGATATTGACAAAAACACCAAAACTGGCAAAGTAACATTATTTTGGGACCATATCATGGATCGTCAATTAAAAAATGTTCAAAACAATTTTGTCTCAAAGTGAAGTGAACCTGTTAAAAAAATGTAACATATAAAACTTGCAAGACGCAAAACGATCTGCAAATTTAAAGTGGTTTGTTAATGATGATAATACAACTGTGCTGCAAAATTCAGTAGTATATAAGATAAGACGAGATATATTGAAGGAAACCAAACTGATAAATCATGAAACTATAAATAAATAAGTAAAGTTTGAGCAAACACATTTGTGGTCCAATTAGAAGGTAATGAAATCCAGCTAAGTGAGGATGGAAGACAAAGAAAGAAAACACTGTCTGATTACATTTCTTAGCAACTGCCATAGCTAACAATGGGATGCTCAGAATGACCCGCCTTTTCACCAGGGTCTAATATGTATGATTGTATTTATATTACACACTTCATCATTAGTAAATAAAAATCTGACAAATCACGATTTTACAGCCATCCATTCAAACACGCCAACCAAAAGAACACTTTCAAATTAAAATCTAAATTAGAACATCACAAATATATTTTCTAACTAAAATAAACACAAGCATGTTTCATCTTGTGAACTCTAGGTTACAAAAATAAGAGCACAAAGTAAGTATCTTATACGTGGTAGGTTGTGTCAGACGGTTAGTGTGCTGTGTTTGTGTTGCTCTGTTGAGAAGAGACAGAAGGAGTCCTCGAGTGTCCAGCAACAGGTGTTTGAACCAGAGGCTCTGGAGGTCCTTTACCTCCAGAGGAGCTTCCTGAAACTCCCTGGAAAATCGGTGTTTCTTAAGTAAAACTAAAACATTGCAAACAATAGGTAATAGGATTTATTTACTATTCACGATAAAAATATTTTAAGGCAAACTAAAGTATTTTGTAGTCTGTAGTCCTATTATTAGAATGTATACTATTGACATTTCATCATCATCAGACAATATTTATTGTAAGTGAAATACCCGTTATTACATGGCAAAAGTATGTGTATATATCTGTCTGTGTGTAAATATTCAAGAATATAGCTTTGTCACAGTTTCAAAATTCAATTTTCAAAATTGGTACACCTATCTTCATCGTTTTTGAATACATTATAAGAGAATGATCTTTTCTTTTTGTACTCTAATTTCAGATAATAAATAGTGGAAAAAGAGTTACAAATACACATCCGATCAAAACTAGCTTACGTAGGTATTTAACAACATTATCTTCCACAGTCAACTTAGTGAATGGCAAGTTCTTCTCCGCCCCACAGTCAACATTATATGCTAACCTGCATGTGGTATTTGTAAATATTCTCTGTAGACGCCACGACGCCCGCTGTCAAGTCGAGACTACGTCCCTTGACCCCGCCCGACTCCTTGTTAGAAGGAGACCACCAGTTGACTAGAGATCCAAACACCGGCACCTGACGTAGAATGCCTTCCTGCCATAACTTCTCCTCATTCTCTCGTTGCAAGTCTAGAGTAGCTGCCTCTATACCTACAAGAATGAATGATGTTAACAAAACCTGTAAGGGAAATTTGAGATGCAATCTTTGACTATCGATAGAATTATACATCCCATTCTCTTGTTACAGTCAGTTTTTGATTAAAATTAGATTAGCTGAATTGAGAAACCAACAGACTGCCCTGATGTCAAGTTTATTTCCCTTTACCCCTTTAACATTACCATCCACTAGTCTGGCCCTATCACTAATTTGCTAGTTATAATATGGGGACGGATTGGTGAAAGTTTACTAAAATACCAAAATCTACGGGTGAAAATTGAATTTACTCAGCAGCGCACTCAAAGAATGGCCCGTTCAACTATATTATATTCAAACAAAATAATCACTGCAACTGGTAGATAGGATGTCTACTTTACTGTTACTGTAGTATATAAAAGTCAATGATGTGATCTAGTTTATAATGCTGAACTAATAGGAACACAGTTAACTCTAGGTTGTATAAGCCAAAATAAATAATTTAGGAAACTAAACTCTTTGGTTTGATTCATATTGGTGAAACATTTAACATTTTCTAAAATCTGACTTTAGAATCTGGCAAAACATTGCTAGCTTCCTTGATGAAGGCTTCTAAGATGCTAAAACTGCTTCTATATGTGTAGTTGTGCAATAAGAACAATCAACGTGCTGACAACAGCTTTACGGTGTGTGTATGTTTTTATGACAATGATTAGGGTGAATGTGAAATACATTATTTTGATTGACTCTTTTATGTCAGCATCAGTTTCCTACCTTTCTTGACAACCTCTGCCATTGTGTCAATAAATTTCCAACTGTCTTCCTCTTGCTTGCCCACGCTCTCCACAAGACTGAGCAGTTCTGCGACGTCTGTGTCAGCTGTCACCATTCCAAACCTCACACAAGCCAGTCCATCAGTTCCTTCACCTACACAGCGACGAGTGATTCAAGTGCATTAATGTTGTGCAGTAAGCTTTGGAACTCTTTAATTTCTGAAAATATTATAAAAAGAGGTGTACAAGCGGCTCAAATTTTGAGCTGAGACCTTCCATGAAGTTAGAAAATTAAGCTTGAGATGAGCTTTAATCATTGTGATGTTTTCGCAATCGCAGGAACGCGTCTGCAGAGATCCCGCAATCGAAAAGTTCATGCTTTTGCCAAGATCGTGGTTTGTTGAAACAGGAAACAAAGATGTTTAGAAGAACGTGGGAAAGGTTTAGGATTTTGTCGTGATCAGGGAAGACGATGATGATGTTTCCGAGACCACTGGAGATAATCACGAATATGATGCAGTCGGAGAGGACAATGATTGTATTTTCTCGACCGTGTACCTATTCTTAGTCAATAACCACACAATTCCAGAAAACATTGCCTTTAGAAGAAAAAAGAAAATAAGGTGTACTTTTTTCTAAACTTAAGTTCCTTGATGTTGTTTCTATTAGTTCCTTGTTTTGTGAATCCCTTTATGAACTGAAAAAAATTATATTGAACGAATTATATTGATGTAGAATCACAAAATCAAATTGTATTTTTAAAAGAAAGGTTTGTGACACATTAACTTATTAAATGGTATTACGTAAAATTCATGATATAAAAAGTTTGGCTTGAAAAAAGCTAGCTTTTTTCTTAAAACCCAGCTCGATCAAAAATACCAGGCTCGCACACCTCTAAAATAAAGCTCATCTTACTGAGTAGCATAATTAAGCAATGCTACTGGCGTTAATAAAATAACAATCAATGCTAAGATCAACAACTTCAGAGGATTAAAAAAAACTTCTTCCAACGGCTAACTTCAAAGAATCATCCAAAAGATGCTAAGGGAGGAAATCATTTTAACTTTGACCCTTCTGTTTTATAACCCACCTAGAGAGAACGCAGCATCTGTAGCCCTCAGCCTGTCCACCAGTTGAATGTTGAGCTTGTTGAGCTCCTGTTTGACCTGGTCTGTGAGTACACGGGTCTCCCAGCCCTGTGGTACGTAGCGTACACCTCCTAGACCAGCCCATCCAGGCATCTCCACCAGACGTAGGCTGGGCGACGACGACACCAGGCGATGGAACGTGTCTTTGTGGCCAACAGTAGCGACCAGGATCTCCTGCAGACAGAGTGGTAAGTTCAGGTTATACAACGACGACTATTGGCTTACATTATACGACTATAGGCATGAACCATTCCCACTATTGTATTGTAATAATCTTAGTTGAGTCACTTTGTATACCCCCCCCCCCCACAAATAATATTTCCTGTACCCCCAACGACTTCTTTCACTACATCTTATTGTGTTTCAGGTCCTACATCATCTCCCATAGGTCGGCTTAGCACTTCACCCATATTCCCATCATTTCCACCAATCCTAAATGTCACAAGCATCCTTCTTTCCACGAGCCTTGGACTCTTTTGTTGCTCATCGCTGCCAATCCTACCATGTTCAATCCTGGACCATCCAACATAACCTTACTTGGTTCTCATGTTAAATCATCATCTGATGATCTGATGGTGTGTAAAGCGGCCAGGTAACAAGCCATTTACGTCAGCTGATATCTACTCACCAACTGCTGGTCCAGACAGTTGACAAAGGCTTCTATGTCGGACTGGGAGGGTACAGAGATGGCCTCCAAGGGACAGTAGCGCAGTACCACACCAGAGTGTTCCAACTCACACAGCTCCACAGGCACCTGCGGCGAGTCTCTCTGTAGGATCTGGCCCAGCTGTAATAGTAAACAAACCTCTAGTACTGATCACAACGGTTTAGTATTGACATTTTTAACGAGTTACCAACAGTCTAACTGGATTTGACTGTAAAATAAATAATAATGTTTTCTATACCTAGTTAGTAATGAGTCTTTATGAGTTTTTATGTATGTATGTATGATTATTATTTGAAATCAATTTTGAGTGATATTCTGAGATTCTCACAATGCATTTTTGTCAATGCAATAAATATTATTATTATGTCTTTGAGAGAGCAATACCACCTCAGAGTTTTAAGATGAGTACAGTAGACTCTCTCTTATCCGGACTCCTCGGGACCGAGGCCAGTCCGGATAACGGGTTTTTCGGTTAAACCGACGTCCCCAAAAACTTGTTAAAACGGGTTTACTGTGATATTCGACTAAACACGTTCAGTGCGGCAGGCATTTTAACAGGCGCTCGCCAATGGCGGCGAGGCTCGGGCAAAGCCCCGGTGCGGCACCCTAACAGCGAACGCAATTGGCATTCAAATATTTCAATCTGACGAATAACAAAAGAGCAGCGGTGATTGAACTACGTTATCCCGAAATTGGACGTAGTTCCCTAAAACATCCAAAGGTAGCAGCACTGCCTGGATCAGTAGTCAGTGGCTTTGTAATATGGCTTGAAGAGAGAAAATCTCCGAAACCGGGACAAAAGCATTGTCAGATGGGATTTTACGGGAAATTTTTGTACCAACCTACAACAAAATAAAGCTCACATTCTAAGCTACAGGCTAGCAACGATTTAAACGTTCCCCGGTAATGGCTGACCTCATACTGAACTACATGTAGTGGGGGTTGCGCAATTGCATCAATTGATGTAGTCAGCAAATTTAGGAGAGCATTGTATTTAGACACGTGATCACTGGTCTCAAATCTTTCCCACGAGAACAGACATTTCAGTACTGCCCACTTCCTGCCGATCTAGTCCGGTTAAACCAATGTGCTCATAAAAACTGTCCGGTTAAAGAGATGTCATTTCCGCCGAGTGTAGTCCGGTTAAAAGGTGTTCGGATAAGAGGGAGTCTACTGTATAAAGAAGTACCCAATCAAGCAAGAGTAATATTATTAATAGCCCTGGGTGCTAACATTTTCTCAGACAAGTCAAATACGACACCATGATATTTTTTGTGTGGTGACAGAAAATTAGCACACATTTTCTATGATAACAGATACATTGTGAATTTTAATTGCAGACACATTCTGCATTTGCAATAATATTGCAGGGATAAAAGCTCAGCTTGGTTTGGCTCAAAATCCAAGCCACTTGCAAACCTCTACTAATTGTACATCAAACTACTGGTTGTTATTCATGAGTTAAGGAGAGGACGCAGAAGAGAAGAGTGTGATGCTTTAAAACTGTTACACACCAATGGATTACGAACACTACAACATGTGTATATTGTGTTTGGTATATTTTTAATATACAAACCCAAGAGTTGAGTTTATCATAGTATGGCGCAACTCTCTCCTGGCAGCCATCCGGTACAAACTGGAACACGACTGAACTTGCCACCACTTCAAACAATAGCTGCAACAAAGAAAACTCAGCTAGTGTTTGTAGATCATAACATAATCATAACTCAACATGGCAATTTTATTTTTTAAGTCCGAATGAAATCCACTTTTTCTGAACTCTCCCTTATCCAAACTTGGTTCAGTCCCGATTAGTTCAGAATAACAGAACTATATAATATCTCCAAATAAAATAGACACAATTCCAAAAAGATAAATATTGTGTAATTTGTTGATAAACAACTTACATTTGTGTTGACTGGTTTGGTGATGATATCTGCTATGGTGATGACCCCACCTTCCCCGCCAGGTTGTTGACTCTGAAAAAAACAATCACATTTAAAATACAACTTTAAGTTTCTTTGCACCTCCATTTCCCATTAGTGGCTGTAAGTCTTATTAAGCAAAACTAAGTAAGTACTAATCATATTACTCAGCACTGTAGTACTAATAGTAGGCATACACTTAATGTTCATTACAGATAAAGCATCTGTTTTCACATGCTTCTAAGTAAAATGGCCAGTTTGAAGTTAACAGACAAAAAGCAATAAAAATCAACTTCATCAGTGACCGATACAACTTGACTTCCAAAAATATACATTTTTTGTCTATGGGACAGGACACAATGGGAAAAATTTGACATAACATGACGCTAACTCTAACTCTTCATTTTCTAAAAAAACATTATGTTTTTAGGAAAAAGCATTTAGCTTAGATTAAATTAATATATAGGATGGAGAGGACACAGCTAACTCACCTGATGAAAGGTTGCAGATGAGTCAAAGAACACATAAAACACACACATAATAATACTTGATATTTCGCCTCTTTCAGAGGCTTCTTCAGAAGTAAGCCTCTGAAAGAGGCGAAATATCAAGTATTATTATGTGTGTGTTTTATGTGTTCTTTGACTCGTCTGCAACCTTTCATCAGGTGAGTTAGCTGTGTCCTCTCCATCCTATATATTTATTTAATCTAAAAAAACATTAGTAATTGAAGTAAAAGCAGATTAATAAAAAGAGTGCTAACCAATTTATGATGTTACAGTGGCTAGTAGAAAACCACAGTCTAATGTTTGAGCAATTTCAATCCATTCATGATTATTTTAAGGAAGTTAAAAACTTAAATTAATCAGAATAGCACTCACACACACACTTGTGTCACTATTTGCTCAGGTGGCCAAACAATCATATCTAATGTGTTAATCACACTTCACTATGACGTTGGTAACACACTGTAGTAGTTGCTAGTCTAAGTCCAGGGTGTCTACCAGATTTATCAAATGGAATTCCCGACTTTTTCCCGACATTACACTACCATTTTTTTTTTTATCCCGACAAAAAAAATGGCTCCATTCTCCATGTTACTACACCTTTTTCTGTCTCGCGGTCACGGTACCATTGTCAACATATGTTGTCACTCGCGACGACGCAAAATCACCGACGATCTGAACAAATCACGTGCCGAGAAAATCCCGGATTAAATGTATAAGTGTGCAAAGCAGCAATAAATTTTCGATGAGATTCAAAATATTTTTGATTTGAATCGATGCAACTTGATTCGAAGCAACAAGGCATTTTTCTATTCATACTTGCCAATGGAGTGAAATTTTTGTTTTCAATCACATTAGAAGAACCAGTATTGCTGGAAATGTCAGGGAGCTGCTTGCCTATTTCATAATCTTTACTTGCAGCATAATATTGCATGTTACCTATTTTATTATTGATTTTACAAATAAAGATATGTATTGGTGAAACAAATAAAAACCAGTACCAGGGGACCGAGCATTGCTTGAGGTTTTTGATGAAATGAAATGAAATGAAATGAAATATTACTTTATTATCACAAAACATTTCACAGATCCAGCGTTAGCTGGTGAAACAGGTGATATTGTCAGAGATCTTAAACACTAAGTTACATAACAAAACTAAAATCCACATAGCTTAAACTAAAATATATTTACTTATCATTTAAATAATCAGAAATATTATAATAATTTTTCTGTAAAAGGTATCGTTTGAAATCATTTTTAAATTTTGAAATACTGTTAATTTCTTTAAAATTAGTGGGTAGACTGTTGTAAAGCCTTAATCCCATATAATAAGGAGATCTTTCATATAAACAAAGGCGATGTCTTGGATATTGAAAATTTTTTGAGCGTGTATGATATGGATGACTGATTTGTTTATCATTGTACATTTGATAATTAATTTTAAAATTCACCATCATTTTAAATATATAAAGTGAAGGCAAAGTTAATATCTCATATTTAGCAAATAAAGCTCTGCATGAGGTTCTTTTGGGCATAAATGATAAAATCCTTATAAATTTCTTCTGAATTTTGAAAACTGCTTTAGAATAAGAAGTTGCTCCCCATAATTCAATCCCGTATTGCAAGACAGAAAAGAACATTGCATAGTACACTGTGAGTTTAGTTTTTAAATCTATTACATTTCTCAAAACATACATTTGAAAGCAAGCCGTATTTAATTTACCAACTACCATTTTTATGTGTGTTTTCCATGTTAAATTCTTATCGATATCTAAACCCAAAAATTTTGCATTTTCAGTAAAGGATATAATATTATTATCATAAGATAATTCAACAGTGGAGTTTTGCCTATTCTGAATTGTTTGAAATAACATCACCTGTGTTTTAGAATTATTAAGTTTTAGCCTGTTGGCTGTAAACCAATTAGATAAATTAAGAATAGAAAGACTGATTTCTTGTTTAAGATTTTGCAAATTATTTGATTTAACTATTGCTGTAGTGTCATCAGCATATAAGATAAGGTTAGACGATACATTTTGAGGTAAGTCATTAATAAATATTAAAAATAGCAAGGGGCCTAGTATTGACCCTTGCGGAACCCCACATTTAGTGTTAAGCCACTGTGAAATACATTTTTTACCATTTTTTACGATTATTGTTCTTTGATGTCTGTTAGTCAAATATGAATGCATCCAAGACAGAGCCATATCAGAAAATTCATAATATTTAAGTTTACTCATTAATATATTGTAATTTACACAATCAAATGCCTTGGATAGATCACAGAACACCGCAGCTGTGCTCTGAGACCCATCCAAGCCATCAGAAACCTGATTTATGAAGTCTGAGACAGCAGATATAGTGTTTTTCCCAGATCTAAAACCATATTGTTTATTGGTAAATAAATCATTATTTTCGAAATATGAATAGATTTGGTTGTAAGCAATTTTTTCAAAGATTTTAGACAAAGATGGGAGTATTGAAACAGGACGATAGTTATCAGGGTCCATTACTGAGCCTTTTTTGAAAAGTGGTTTCAGCTCAGCATTTTTTAATTGATAGGGAAAAATTCCTTCATCAAAACATTGATTGATTACTAGACACAGAGGCTCTGCAATATGGTTTATGACATTTTTAATTAATTCAATAGGAATTTCATCCCATCCAGAAGATTTTTTATTTTTTAAATTTCTAACGGTTTTTTTAATTTCTAAAATCGATACATGTCTGAACTGAAATTTCATTCTTATATTATTAGGCCTACTAGTATTATTAATCAAATTAGTTGCAGTGTGTAAGCAAGGCATACAATTTATATTTTTGTAAATGTTACAAAATTTATCATTGAGAAAATTTACCACATTTTGTCCATCTTTTAATTGCTTGTCTCCGACACACAAATCAGGGAAATCCAAATGATTGGAATTCAGGACTCCAAGTTCAGACTTCACAACATTCCACACCGCTTTGCTCTTATTATCTGAAGATGATATAACTTTACAATTAAACATTTTCCTAGCCTTAACTTTGATTTGTTCAAGAAGTTAAAAAAATAAAACCTATAAGCCTACTACAAATATTTTTAGTTTTGCTACGATTATTTAAGTCGCGGCAAAATCATGAACATTTCCCGCGGCCGTATGGACATCATCATTGACTCCCGCGGTCACGAATCGTCATCGTCGAAGTACGAAATCGCGACAAAATCATGAACATTTCCCACGACTGTGTAGACGACAACATCGTCTTCCGCAGTCATGGAAACGTCCTCGTCGTCTGTGATCGTGTAGACGTCATCATTGTCTCCTGCGGTCACGGAATCGTCGTCATGGTATTGCACAATAACGTATATGGATACTGATTCAATAACACATATGGATACAGATTATGGATACTGATTCCCCCATGAATCAAATCGTTATTTTTTATAATCACTGAATCAAATTTCTATTCAATGCATCGAATCAAAAGTAATCCCGTACCAATGATCGGGAATACAAGATCCAGAAAAGTTTTTCAAAGTTTTGGGACCCGTTAATTCCTAATTTTTAAGGGTTAGATTATTCCCGACCTCTCATAAATCCCAGGCTTTTTCCCGAATTTCCCAGAATTCCCGACTGATAGACACCCTAAAGTCTACAAGGAACAACACAAGTTTAATTAAATTAAAACTACGTCACTAACTACACACTATTTGGTGGATTTAACAACTTGTTAGGGCGTAGAGGTTCACAATTTTTCAGCTTAAATGGCTAGATTTGTACAACTAATTACTGGATCAATGGCATATTTGTATTTCAACTTACCAACATCCGAAGACAAGGATACTTTATGAGCCTTCGCCAAAGTTGTTCACTGGATTCAAAAGCTTCCTTTATCCTCTGCTGTATTCCTGTTTGTCCCATGTTCTACAAAATTTAAATAGGTTCAAGCACATTTAACAATATGAGAGGATTCAAGATAACAACGATTTGTCCCTTTCTGTTAACCATTTCGTAACCAACTTCTTTATTTTATTGTAGGTTTTTAATTTACTCTAAACAACAACGTTTCTCCCTTGTTGCATTGAGTTTTAACTCATCCGGCCAATATTTTTTACTGGGTGAGGGTAAATGTGTAGTATTAAATTTTGTACGGACCTCTATAAATGAATACTCACAAAAAATAAATGTCCTGTCACCAAGTTTGATGTTATGAGGGAGGCCTAAGTTACTTTAATACTTAACTCTTTCTATGTTAATACAAAATGATATAGTTTTGAGCGTATATGTTTCCTGAATTAGTTGAAACTAGAGATGGGATGGTACCAAAAAACATAGATTCTCATTATAAGGACCAACAACCAAATAAATAGATTTTCAGTTTTATATTTTGATACCCAAGAACTCTAGTGGCACTAAAACTGTACCCGGAGTTCAGTTTATTTTAATGGAATTCTTAGTGGAATTATTTCACTGTTATCATTCACTTTTTTGGTTAATTAAAAAAATAGTAAAAACATACTTTAGACATATCGATAAAACTAATCCTCTAAGGAGACTATTACTTTGTTGTGTTGCTAGCCTAGTGGTTAGCGTTCGGTTAGCGTTCGGTTAGACTTCGGTGCGGGAGGGACAGGTTCAATTTCTGGCACATCCACAAAACATTTAATGGGTTTGGACCACTTTCCCTAAAAGCATTTTGACTTTAATTCATTACAAAAATGCCACTGGCATAGAAACAAGAAAAAAAATAAACAAGTAAACAAATTTTACACATGCTAATGTCAAGCAACAACATGCATATGGATAAAAGGGGATATAATCATTGCATTTGACTCAAATGATTTGTTTTCTTAATTCTATAAACTGAAATGGTTTGAGCAAATGAATTTGTTTTGTTTTACACTAACAGCTGTGTCTAAATAAAAATGTCGGCCTTAGTCACTAACAATAGTACAAGATTGTGCCACTCATCCTACACTGTCCTGTTAATCGCCATTTCAGATTAAAGTATTAAAGTAGGGATGGTCAAGTCTCGAAATTTCGGGAAATTTTCGGGAAATTTTCAATCTCGTTACACGAGACGAGATTACTTTTTGGCCGAGATTTTTATCGAGACGAGAATAAAAAATAAAAAAAATAAAAAAAATTAAAAACGCCTGCAGAAAGTCAATGCAATACCCGCAATACAGGAGCATGTTGTAGTTGCGTTTCCTTTTCGAAGGCGTTCTTATTTAATTAATTCTTTTAATGTAAATATTACTTTAATTCTTTTAATGTAAATATTACTTTCATTATTTTAATAATATTACTTTAATAACATTTGAGAAGTTTTGTTAAGTGTAAGCAGTGTGAGGAATGTTTTATTACTATAAAAAAAGTCAAAACAAGTAACTATTTTATAAAAATTAATATTGCTTTTATTTTATGATTTATTTTATTTTAGGATAAGTTGAACTCTATCCTAACTGATATCACCATGTTTCCTAATCGTAGGCATTTTTAATAAGTTAGGCGTGATTAATAAAAAAATGTTATGCTGATGTTATTTAATGAAAGATTGTAAATATTCTTGCCTATTATCATTATTTTAGTATTTAAACAGTCATCTAAGAATGTTACAAAATCAGGTAAAAATTTCGAACGTGCATTTCCCGTTGTGTATGAGAAGAGAAATCTCGTCTCGATCTCGTCTCGAAATTTTATGAGAAATAAAAAATCTCGTCTCGTCTCGTCTCGAACTAAAAATCCAATCTCGTCCATCCCTATATTAAAGTAATAATCACAAAAGTGTTCTCACTGATCACTACAGCTATGGCTATGATCTTTTGAATATGTTAATTGACCATTCAAATTACTTTACAGTAGTTTTAAGCACATCTTCATTGGTACCAACCTGAAGCACTGCCCACAACGGCAAAGCTTGCAACCTTCTTCCAGGATGATCCAGCAGTAAAGCCGCTCCTGCTATTCCTGAGGGATTGTACAATGTCTGTAGACATATTTAAGTAAAACACCATGTGAACTGATGGTAAAAATGTACCTTGATGTATCTCTGCTATTACAGTTTTGTGATATTTTTTAACTAAAAAAAATAAATAAACAAATAGAACTGTTAAAGACATTGTACAAAATCAATGATATACAAACCTAAAGAACAATTAACGCACAAGTTAGAAATCGTAAAGATAATTCTGGATAGTTTGATCAAAACTTGTTTGTAAACTTAACAAAGGCATTGGTTTCTAAATACTTTTCGTTAACTACAGTAAAGCATAAAAAAAACCGAACCAATTGGGACCGTAGGTTGCTCAGATTACTGATTTGTTCCGATTTTCAAACATACCGTAACCTAAAAAATGCCTAATAAGACACAGAATTATGCCTACAGTATTAAAAAATACAGTTCTAGGATACATCCAGTAAATAAAATAAAAACAGTTTTTATACTTAGGTATTTTCAGTATATTACTGTAGTTTGTTTCTTGAAATAATATGTAGAGTTTATGCATTGGAAGCGAACACAACAAATACTGGCTCGACATGTTCACGCATTACTCCGCTGCGCGCCAACTGTTTGGCCCGCGAAATTTTAAAACATCTGTTGCCTCTGTGCTGATTCAATATTTTAAATCCCACAGGAGCGATTTGGATTTTTGATGTTTAGGATTTTTAACATTTGGATTTTCGACGCACTACTGTATATTCACAATAATGACAATGAATTAATTGTGACAATAAGTAATTGTGATTACTTAGTGAGAATGAGAAATACTATTTTTTACAGGTGACTATAATTTAATATTGGATTTGACAATATGTCTTATGACCTGAAACTAGAATGTCATTAAAACATCATTAATATATTTTCTGACGATGATCAATACTAGGCGGAAATGACATTGTTTTGTAACATAACTTTTTATTATGTATTTTTTAAGTCCCTGGGCTCTAATTTTCTCAGATAAGCTAGCTGAACTCTCTCATTTTTAAACTTCTTGGTGTTGAAATGTATTTGGTTAAACTTGAGAGCAAGTACATTTGAGTAAAGGATACAATTGAAGGTAGTCCAGGCACTCCCAACCAAGTAGAGATTGGTAGAGTTGCACTGTCAGATATTCGAGGAGTCTGAAACAAATTTTTTTTAATATCAGACTCACTTTGCAAAACTTACTACAGAGGCAAAACATAAAAAAATAAGATATAATAACTCTAGCCCTAATGAAGAGTTGAAGTCAAACATGGAGTAATTTTATACACCTCTGTGGATTTGGTGAATAACATATTTATTTTATAAACAATATATTTTGAGTATAAAGTGAGCAGTGTGGGTAAAAAAAATATCACAAGGGAAAAATACCAACATTACAATATCTATAAAAAAAGAATGTCTTTGTTAACAGCACAGGACAATATTAAAGCTAAGTACAGTCAAATTACCGACCCCAAAACTCACGTTGTTGGGAGTTGTTGTAAGAGCCAAAGCCGCCAATGAATGTCCTCGTAAGTGAAGCCAAAGCTCATGGTTACGACAAACTTCTTGGAGCCGCGATAAGTTGTCAACATGTCCAGCTATTGGCATACCTACAAACATTAGAGGCAGTTAATATTACCTGTTAAACCCGCAAACCGCAAAAACCAAGTCGTTTTCATCATACTGTCCGGAAAACAGCCGTTTTTAGTTCTCTAAATCGTCCACAAAATTATCAATTTTGGATAACTTGAAATTGGGAACAGAAAAAATATGATAAAGTTTCGGTTAGCTAACCTAAAAATTTGTTTATGGGACATTCAGATTAAAAATGTTGTTTACTATTTGAAACACATTGAATTGAAAACATATTTATTCACTAAGGATACATTGTGTACATCGAATAAAAGTAATCACTAAAATTAAAATAGTACATATTATAATAATTACTAAACATATGATTAATTATTGTAACAACGGGGAAGACGTTGTTTATGATTATGGGTTGGAAGAGTCAAGGAAGGATAGCTTCCAAATAAGTCAAGAGGTAAGGATATGGCATTACTGCGTAATTTTATTAGTAGGCTACATTATGAAAACGTTACTAATCATATGATATTTTAAGTAGGGGTGTGCGATGCAGCATATTTTTTTTTATTCGAATCGATGCGATTCAAGGCCAAATCGATGCATCGTGATTTCGATGCATGCTGAATCGAATCGCAATTTGATGCATCAAATCGAATCGAATCCAAATTTTAATGCATTTTTGATGCATCGCACACCCCTAATTTTAAGTTATGTTTGTAATCAAACTTACAGAAATTTAAACATCGATGACGACTTTGCTTAACCTCAAATTATGTAGTATAATTTTGTAACGATTAGAAGGTTATTTTCACAGTATGATGAAAATAGTTGTTCATCCCACGGAGCAAAAGTGGCTAGAGAGCCACTTTCGCTTCTTGTGATGGAGTTTTACCATTGCAAGACATTAAAAAACACAAGAAAAACAGTGGGATGATAAGGAAAGCTGTTTGGAAATCAGACTATGATTTATAAATGGGTCGATATTTTGTAGCTCAAGGACAAACATTTTTGAATTTTTTTCTCTGATTCTCCTTACAAAATCTTTAAAAAGCATAATCAATCGCTATTCAACTGAGATTGCATGGCACAAGGAAAATACAATAATTGTTTTTGTCAATTAGTTTTATCTTTTTCCCTAAATGGATCTTGTATTTTCCACTCCATAAGATAAGATAATCCACTTTATTCTACATTTTGAGGTTTAAAATATCTATGTAGCTGGAGATTGATAAATAATAAAACTGCTTTAAAAGAAATGTTTTAAAATATGTTTAAAACAATTCTAAATATAAAATACCCCCGCCGCAGCAAACCTGCAGACTAGGCCAACTTCCATTTGCCTGATTGGATTTACACTAATATGTCTCCTTAAAAATATCACACCTATTATTACCTATTTAAATAGAATTAGTTTAATGAGTACTTAGGTTTGCTGCAACAGGGAGGGTAAAAAGGTGTTTTTTTGTTGGACACTTACTAGTTGTGGTCATTTGCACAGCAGTTTATGTCTAATCTGTTGTTCCTGGTGCTGGCTATCAGATTGAGTCCAATTTAACTCTAAGATGGGAAATAGAAGTTGCCTTCTTGAGTTGGCTTCTGAGCTGATACACCAAGGTGGTTGTGGTACCGACGGCAATTAGCGAACAGACAGTTAATTTTGTGAATAAAGTTCAAGATTGAAACAAAAAATCAACGGCAATTACCAGCATCAGCTAAAACTATCAAGGGCAGTCTTCCTGCTGACTTGTCCTCCTCTACTAGACGTTCTAGAGCTGCTACGTCCATCTTGTGTCCAGCAAACAGAGTTGTACAAGGTACAGCTCTCACACAATGTAGAGGCAGGCCTAGCTGTAACATCAGAGAGATGTTCAAAACTTGTCACTAAAACATCAGACATCAGTGAGTGAGAGTGTATTACATAATGCATGAGGAAATGGAAACTTTAGTTAGAGCATTAGCTTCAAAATTTCAGGTTTAAATGGTTTAAAACAGAAAGTCTAGAAATCTTCCAAGTCAAATCTGCTATTAAAGGCATGGATGGAAGCTGATGAAATGGGTAGAAACTGTAAGACAATTATGGTCCAATCTGAAAAGGCATTATGGATGATGACTCACAGGCTGAATGTGAAATTACTTTGGTTACTTAAATCAGCATTATGGTCGTAAGCTTTTTTTGTCATGATCGATGTAGAAATTGAAATTGAGTTGAGTGAGCATATAGTTTATATTTCCATTTTCCAATTAAAAGACATCACTACCACACTGTATCTACTGACCTGTCGACAGATGTGTTGTACGATGCCCAGGGGAGATGCGATGTTGCTGTAGATCACTGGAGGCTTAGTCTTCATCACCTCGTAGCCCTCCTGTAGGTAGTGGGGGTACTTGGCATGTAACAGAGACCTGGTCACTCTGACTACACCTTCCAGCTGGTCCTCGTGGTAGCAGACGCCACACTCGCCTAGCCTGTCAGACAGAACAAACATTAGAAAGGTTTGTAGGAACCCTGGAATGATATTCTGGTGGGAACAATTACAAATATGGGAACAAAAACTATCTTGGAACAAGGAATGCTCTGTTTTGAATTTCCAATTAGCTCTGGTGCAGTTCTGAATCAAAATGAAAAAATTTAAATCTTACAACAGTTAATTCACATACAAGCGATTGGGTCGAGCAAGATGGTCTAGCAGTAGAGTGTGGAGATTTAGTCACCAAGTTATCCCACCAATCGCCAATGGTTGTTAGCTATGTAAAAATGACGCAGCCATATAAGGTGTGCAATTATCTGACACTGACGGATGAAGCGCCTTGGGACCTAGACCCTTCCAGGAAAGAATGTGCTATTGAAATGTATTTTTATCTGGTAAAACAAAATTGAGAATCATGTTTTGAAGATTTAACAATTACCATTTCTTTCTTCTGTCTTACTCAGTTTTATTTGATTGTGGAAAGCTTCTGGATTATGTGTCATCCAATGGGGCCTTAGGCTTGGGGCTTAGGCCATCTCCCTGGTTTTCAGAGTCTTATTCTTTTGGTAGATATCTGTTTGTCCTCTTAAGAAATATGTAATCCACTGTATAACTCAAAATATCCAAATCATTTGGGACTGCACAACATTCGGAATAATGTATTTTTTACTGAAATGGGAAATCTTGGTGTTTTATTGAAAGTAGGCTGAGCCAAGCCAACTTTTATTATTACGATCGTAGAACAGTTAGCCTATGTGATCATTATGAGATTAAAAAATGTATACTTTTGCCGCAAATGAAAAAGTTCTTTAAACTGATCCATGATCTCCCTATAAATCAAAGTCCTACAATTATATTTTAAAAGAAAGCCAAGAGGCTGATTAGCATTTCTTTTTAAAGGTGATATAGAGTTTAGTTTGTTTTTTTGGGAAAGTTACAGGGAGTAATAGATAGTATTCAATTAAATAGATACACAATAGTGTTATGTTTGAAGACTTTTTATTATGTATCTATAAGCCACTGAACTGTGACTTTTCAGGTAAGTCCTACAATCAGGCCTAATTACATTACAGCGGTGACAATTTGTGTTCAAAACGGATTAAAAAGTCAATGTTAGGAGATTTTTCTTTAAAGGGGTTGTACCTAAACAGCTGTGACAGCCACTTGCTGGTGTCCGAGGTGACTCTGTTGCTCAGCTGTTGCAGTTGTCCTCTGTCTAGACTGCCAGCGTGGACAGACACTGCGTGACACACAAGAGCCAACATAGACAGTCCCGTAGGCTCCGGCAGCGTGCTACCATCCTCTTGAGTCACTTCCACCAACAGGCTCTGTCAAATCAAAATTAAATGTTTGTTAGGCATACAGCTTTTGTTTGAGATTTCACAATTCGTAGAAACTTTGCTGAACACTGCTTGAATCAAAACTGTGAGGAAAATATTTTGATGAAAAAATAACAGACTTAAAACTTAAAACCTTGACCTCAAAGTTACCATATACCTACTCTCACTGTAATATAAAGACAATTAAGTAGACCTACTTACCACAGTTCAACTAACATGGTCAAGCCAGAGGTAACTTAACTACAATGACAATATGCTCTTCAAGCATGCCCAGCAAAAGACAAATTTCATTGTCTGAGGGTTTATTGTAGGGTTAAGGGATAGAAAAGTAATAATAGCTTAAAAGAGTAGGCTATAACTGACTTAGGCCTACCAAGTTTCATTATTTTATCTATAGGCTAATAGTAAAAAATATTTATCACCGTTCCGGCTCTTTTCAATCACACTGTATAGGGGTAATAAGTTAGTTACATTGAACTCTGATTAAGTGAAATGAAGGGGGCAAAGCCATTTCGGACAACCACTTTATTTTTGTTCTATTTTAAAAGGTTGCCGCTCATCGGTGACGTTGATCACATTGAAATATTAAGGTATTTTAACCTCTAGTTATAGTTTAAACTGTGGTCAGGAGGAAAAAAACCACAAAAAATGAAGGAGATGAAGGAGACATGTTACCTCAAGTTGAGTGTAGATGTCTTCTGCAGTTCGAGTAGGTAGGGGTCCCAGGGAGGGTGGGGCAGGGGTCACCCCACTCCTCCCCTCCACTGCTTCCTCTAGTCGACCAATCACCTGAGACACTTGAAACTCAATGTCACCAACAACGCTCTTCTAAACAAACAAATAATTTAAGAACTTACCAATCTCTATTATCGAAAAAGAATAAAAAGATTAGGTTGCTTGTAACATAGATGTTTAGTTTTAATACAACGATTTTCAATGTTTGCTGTTAGCATAAAAAATTCTCATTTTGCGTGGTTGGCAAATCTGTTTTCACCTGTCAGTTAAAAGTAGGCCTACCGGCATTAAAAAGTCATGTATCTTTTTGTTTGGGACTGTAATATAGAACAGGCAATGGGTTTAAGTCAATTAAATAAATGACCTCAAATTAAGTTAGGTCTGTAGGCCCACATAAAAAAATTGTGCAAAATTGTGATTTCTTAGGTATGCTAGGCTAGGCTAATTAAAATTGGCAACTGAAAAACTGAACACATCACAACAATAAGGCAAATAGCCTACTGTATCCAAACTGATAGCAGCAACCTAACTTATTAACTTTACTTAATAATTCTAACAAGGTATTAAATAAGTCAAAACTAATTTTACACACGAGATATTGCATTAGCACTGGATGGATAGTTAACTTAAGATATTCCTGATTCTGATTTGGGTAATAGCCTAAGTTACTTTTCTGTGATAGGTAAGTTAGCCTAAGTTATTGAGAGCTTGGAGTGAGGAATGGAGGCTTAGTGTGGAACTTCAAAAAAGGTTGAACGAGAACAATAAGAGACTTAAGATAAACACCTATAACACAATAAGTGTGTAAGTTTTATAAATTGAGACAGAGTTATGTCAATCAGCGATGAGTGGGATACCTATGTGATTTTTTTAATAGGGTAGGTAACTTACCACTAAGTACTAACTAATATATACTAATAGTGTCTATTGGTGTGGCTCTTAGTGTTGTTGAGAGCCCTTTTCTTCGATACCTGGTACAGGACAACATCTGACATGATCTATGCATAATGAATAAACCAGTGAGGGTTAGTTTGGTTAAAACCTAACTTACTCTTTTCCCCTGAGACATGGCAAGGACTTTAAAGTCTAAGGGTAGCCTAGGAATATCTGAGGTATGCAGACAATCATTGGCAAATTTAATGATTGAATGTATACGATTTTATCTTTACAGAGATCAATATATTTGTTAATTAAAATTTGGTTCCACTAAGTTAGGGACTAGCCTATTAATTGTCTGTCACATATACTAACCTAAAAATTAGTCGACACTTTTTCACCTTACACCAACTAAATGGAAACTAATCAAATTAAATAAAGCCTGTCACATGGATTTTTATAAATCATTTAACTGAATACTTACTGTTGTATTCCCATGGTCACCTGAATTATCTGGCATTTTCTCCTTATCACTCATAATATTTCCCCTAGATTTGCAATGTTTGTGATTTCTTCAATTTCATAGTATTTTTTATTAAACTTTACTGCTGATTTGTGTACTTCATCCGCTACGAGTTCAGTTTGAGTTCGAGTTCGATTCGATTGTACCGAACTGAATTCAATTCAAACTAATCGTTGTACAGAGATCCCTGCAGCATCCGCACTGAATCACCTGAATACGGTTTACGGAGCTTATTTAAGACGACAATACTTTAATTAGTGGAATCATAAATAACCGGTGGCCGGTTTGTAAGTTGTCAACATTCGTGGCAATTAATGTCAGTGGTAATTAGTAAAAGTACCATCATTGGTATCATACAAAAATAAAATAAACGGTATCAGCAAACGTGAGCAAGGCTACATACTTTCTGCCATAAACTTGTAAACAACCTTTATCATGGTAAGCAGTGGAAGTAACTATGATTTTATTCTATCTTATTTTAATCTTACTAATAAATGTGAAAGTTTGTGTGTTTATTTGTTTTAAGTTCAATCACGCATTTACTACTGGTCGGATTGGGTTGAAAATTTGTATAATGATAGCTCACATTCCCGATTAACATATAGACATATTCTAATCTCTTCTAAGGTACCTTTCGGGCTCTGCCACAGTGGCTCTAGAGTTTGGTAAATGTTTACCATCAGGGTGCTCAAGACTGGGACGGGTGGCGTCGTCCTGTTTGTAATCCAGCTACTAGGTCACGAATTGTGGATATTTATAGGCATTATAGCTGTTCCTGATCATTGGGCTTTAAATAAATGATCATTCCTGACTAATGAAACCGCTGATCTTAGTCAGTAACAAAGCTACACAGATCATCACACTCCATTTGACAATCATCCTTCACTCATATCCCATGTAGCACAGATGGTTGGGCCAACGTTGGCCAACTGTGGGACAGTTGGTCGATGGTTGGTTGGAGCTTCCACAACCAACCAACCGTTGTCCAACTGTATATCTCGTAGTTGGGCCAACCAATATTTACAACTGTGGGCCAACATTGGTTCATTGTTAATGAAATACATTAATATGCATTGCTGGGTATCATACATCAAGCCAACCGTTGTCCAACCGTTTTTCACTCCGTTGGACCAACAAAAGATACTTTTGTTGGACCAACAATGGTCCATAGTTGAGTTTACACGACTTTCATTCTCTGGGTCTAGCTTTCACAACATAATTATAATAAAATATCTGGTTTTACAATACCTTTATCAGTTCCAAAAGTTTCCAAAAGTTTTTGGAACTGATAAAGGTATTGTAAAACCAGATATTTTATATATTACAGTTCCGGCGCTACAACAATGAATTTTAATAATGCAAATATTTTTTAAATTAATATTCTTTAACTTATTTGCAGCAATTTAAGGGGAAAGAGTAATTAATCATATAACAGGCAATTATAATAGCATTAACAATCTAACGGTAATTAATTAATCATTCAAATACCAGTATCCTCTCTAACTCCAAAAAAAAACTACTTATGATGCCTTAACAGATTAACAGAATCATATTATACTGTGTAGTATCAAAAATGTTTGAAGTATTGCGACCATTGCAACTGTCGGCTACTCTTTCACCACTTGAAAACTCTCTATATCAGCAATCACAGATAGCTCAGTGGTAAAGTAAGAGGCTCATAAGTCGAAGGACCCGGGTTCGAGACCCGTCTGGGCCAAAAAATTTTGTTCTAGTTTTTTTTCAAAATTTGTTTTTATGAACTATTTAATCAATTTACTCAACTAATAATTATGCTTTTCGTACTAAATCTTTATTATTTTGTGTGAAATAAAACGGTTGGACAATGGTTGGCTGGAAAACAGTTTAAAGAGGTGACATTTCTACCGTTGGCCAACTGTGTGGCTCCACAATTTACCAACGTTGGCCCAACCATCTGTGCTACATGGGATTTGGGTTAAAATACGCACCTAGGTGGCGTCCCCATCTCAATGATTGATAATTGACATCGACTCTAAACCAAACATTGATTTCTTTTTGAAAGTACAGAGGTGGGTCAACCCCTAGGAGGATTCAACCCGCACTTAAATCTTCTTACCTTTTACCTTTTGTGGCAGGTTGGGTTGTCGTGGTGGCTTATTATTGCTGTGAAACCTTGATGCATGTCCTCAATGGCCCCAAAAATCTGAAGACAAAGTTAAAATCCACAAAATCATTCACTAGTGCTAGTAATAACAGTAAGAAACAGGGAATCTCAATTATTATGAATATAATAAGAGTTTTTATGGGATATTTATTGACTTCAAGAAAGCTTACGACAGCATTGATCGAAGGACCTTATATAGGAAAATGGAAAAACATGGCATACCTAAAAAGTTAATAAATTTGACAAGATTATGTGTTGACGAATCAAAAGCGAAAGTAAAGGTAGATGGAGAAATGTCTGAGAGCTTTAGTATAAATACAGGAGTGAGACAAGGGGACGGGATTTCCCCCACTCTTTTCAACATAGCGATTGAAGAAGCTCTACAAAAAGTAAAAAATCTAAAGAGGGGCCTAAAATTGGGTGTAGACTTAAATGTCATGGCCTTTGCAGATGATGTGGTGATATTGGCTGAAAAGTCGGAGGATTTGTGTTTTCTAGCCGACAAGTTTATTCAAGAATGTAAAAAAGTGGGTTTGGAACTAAATGAGGAAAAAACCAAAATAATAAAGTTTGAACGACATCCTATCAATAGAGGCACCAATTTCAATATAGCCAACTATTTAATTGAACCAGTAGAAAGCTTTAAATACTTAGGAGTTACTGTAAATAGCTTTAATATAGAAGATACAGAAATATTAAGTAAATTAGCAAATGCCAATAAATGTTTAGGTGCATGTATGAAGCTCCTGTCATCAAAACTCCTATCATCTGATACAAAAATAAGAATATATAAAACCATTATTCAACCAGTATTATTGTATGGAAGCGAGACCTGGGTCCTATCCAAGAGAAATGAAGGACGCTTGGTTGTTTTTGAAAACAAGGTCCTAAGAAAAATATTCGGCCCAGTAAACGAAGAAGGAGAATGGCGGATTAGAAAAAACAGAGAGCTACGAGCGTTATACCAGGACCCTGATATAATAGCTTTGATAAAGGCAAAAAGATTAGGTTGGCTAGGTCATGTATTGCGAAGGGAAGAAGGAACAAGACTGAAGGAAGTATGTTCTGCTGTACCAACTGGAAAGCGTCCACTGGGTAGACCAAAAATGAGATGGTATGACCAAGTTAAGAGAGATGTGAGTCAGTGTGGAGGGACAGTGGAGATGGCAGCGGACAGAGAAGCGTGGAAGAGGCTGATCTACGAGGCGAAGAATCGACTGCGATTTGTAGCGCCCCAGCAGTAAGTAAGTAAGTGCTAGTAATACGTGTTGGTTAGTCTATGGTAATACTCTATACTGAAAGCAGTTTTATGCATATAATCCTTCCTTCCCCTATGGTTCAGATACCTCTATGTAAATCACCTAACCCATAATCACAAAATGGCGGAATGAAATTGATCGCGTCCTGTTAAAAGAGTTTATTTCAGATAGGGACTACTATTAAGTTTTTATATTTTAGTGAATGAATATAATTCGAAGAATTAAAGTGTTTCGACAAAAAAATGCACGATTTCCAATACTTGTAAGTAACACCCCTAACCATGATTAGCTCACTTGTTTTTAGAGTTCCTCAAAGTAAAAATAGTCTGCGCCATCAGTGGTAAACCCTTTTGAATCATAACATTTTATGAAATTAAAACAGCTCTTTATAATTTAAACGCCTGGATAGTTGTGCTATGTATTTAATGTATAGCCAAACTAAATAGTGCTAACAATAAGTTATTTTACATTTAAAACCCTTAATAAAAACAACAATGTATTCATGCCTGAATTTTGTCCTTTGTTGAATAATTGATTTGATCAATAACCCTCTAGGCACTGTAAATGAGTATTAATACGTTATTATTCTCTACAGTATTGTAGCTTTTAATTCGGAAAGTAAATAAAAGAAACGTCTTATAACACTTGAAACATATATGCTTATACTGATACTCACAAGTACTAAGTTACTTTTAATACTTTAAATAAATCCTTAGAGTAAACTTACTAAGCCTAACTTAATTTTAATGTTCAGTTCCTTGTTCTACCCTTCTTTAGTAAACTTAACCTATTCTTTTAAGGTAGTATGCAAAATTCTTAGGGAAACCATATTAAGTTAATCACTAATTTTCAGAGTTTTTGTGAATTTCAATGTGAAACTTAACTTAGGAGTTTGCCCCAAAAGTGTTCTAAGTTACAAGGTGATTACCGAGAAACACTGCATTAAGAGTTTCGAAGTTAAGTTCAGGTTAGATTAGGAAGGTAAAGTTTAGGTCATATGACAAAATATTTTTTAGTAGAATAACTAGGCCTAGGCCTACTGCAAATTTGTAGCTGTTCGAGAAGTTTGGTTGGTTAACTTAGGTTAGATGACACTGTTCTAACCTAACCTAACCAACCAAACTAGGGATATTTTATTGGTTGCTGTGGTACAATGTGTTTGTAAAGGAAAATTGTTATTTAGTCTCTTGTGATGCCATTTTTATTGAAATGGAGCATTATTCTCGGTCTCGGTGATTTCTTTGTTCTTACCAAACTTTTCAACAGTAAGACATAAGTTACTTACCTAACATGTTTGTATAGGCTACTGTTAACTAATAATTTCTACTAAGAATAAATATTATGTACAATATTATGTAAGTCTTCGGAATCCTTATTGTTTATGACACTACGGCCGGTTCGGAGATTACTCCATCGTCGGGTGTAGTCATACACTAAACTTAAATACTGCTATATTTAAATTTTTCACGGGATTTCTTCATTTTCATTGCGTCAGTTAATAAATAGTGCATATACAACTCGAAACACAACACAAAAACATTTAAGCATGTGCACGGCTATAAAACTGGTGTAATAGTTTTTTAGTATAAATATTACATATATATTTAGTTTTATAATTATAATTATTATTTATTTTATATTTATGCGAAGACAGTAAGTATAAATAAATATTATGTATTTATTTATGTACACGCAATCTGCCACACTGAAAAATCATTCTACTAATAATTAAACTAGAGAATTTCACCCCTCCCCCACATAGACCTATGTCTAATGGGTTATTAATTATTTGTTGTACATTTTACTTAATAATTGATTATCAATCGTTGCACAATCTAGTTAGCTTATTAACTTATCCATTAATATGGTACAAAACAATAAGAATCAATACTACTGGAAAAAGAATACATGAAGGTCCACCTCATTTACTTTTTGCCATGGGGTAGCGGATTATCATCCCCCTGGGTAAACGTGACGTCACAAACCAAACCAGGGGGTAAAATTCCGGCCGCGAACTTTTGAGTTTCGCGATATAAGTTCGATGGATCAAACGCAGAATTAAACGTATCTTTTCACGGTTGTGAATTTAATCAGTGTGAACACATCAAACTATAAAAACCTAGAGTGTACGGGCCAGAATTTTACCCCCAGACTTTTACCCCATCATGAGGTCAGCTCAAAATGTACGGCCCGGATTTTTACCCCCGGAATTTTACCCCTGGAATTTTACTCCCCGGATTTTTACCCCCAGAATTCTACCCCATGGCCAGATATATAAAATTAGTGAGAAGGCTTAATTATCTTAATTCAGTTTTAATTTAATAGTAAACATTTTATTATTTAGTAGGTAGTCTATCTTAATTTATTTATAACATCAACTAATCAACAGTTTTTTAATTTTAATTTTGAGATTCGAGTATCAGGATTCGATCTTTTCGAAGCTAACTGTTGGTTAATTTGACGTATAAACAAACATCAGAATGGTAATTGATTCGAAGATTTCTTTAACGATTTACAAAACAACCGTGTGGTAAATAATGTTTTTTGTTTGTATTGTAACAATAACAAAATACCCCTGCCGCAGCAAACCTGCCGACTAAGCAAATAAATAAATTTACCAAGTTCGATCAAAATATATCCATAAACAAGCAAACTACAACATTTTACAACATTCTCCAAAAGAATAACATGGGAATTTTAAAATTACCTACAATTTTTTGAATTTTCTCCGTAACCAATTATTGTACAAAAAAACTTTGATATACTAAATTATTTGTTTTTCTAAACTCTTCAAAAAAGTCTGAGGAGAAATTGGGAAATGTTGTGTTTAGAGGGTCAAAAATTAGAAAAACCAAGTTTTACCCCGTAAAACCCCGTTCCCATGGTCCGATCATGCTGGTTCGCAAACTCATTTAAGTTTGTCCCGCTTTACACCTTCAAACCAAATTTCATCAAAATCGGACAAAAATTACCCAAGTTATTGTGTTCACGGACACACACACATATATCTTACTAATATTATAAATGTGAAAGTTTGTGTGTTTGAAGTTCAATCACACATTAACTACTGGACGGATTGGGCTGAAATTTGGCATGATGATAGCTCACAATCCCGATTACATATAGGCATATTCTTATTTCAAAAATCCTTTTGGGCTCTACCCCAGTGGCTCTGTAGTTCCCCATGTTAACCTAATGAGTATTCTTCATATTTAAAGGGAATTAAAGAAATTAGTCAGCTGTTTCAACTAAAAAGGTTGGTTCTGATACGCAAAAGCATTAAACATTTATAAGATTTACCAACAGAGTGCAGCACTATATTATTTTTGCATTTATGAAAACAGCTAATTTGAAATAAGCAGCAACAAATACTGATACGCAATGTGAACTGTCAAAGTAGGATTGTTTACAGTTATGTTTATGTTTTTAATTTCATGAATAATTTGTGATATTTTGTGAATTTTTAATTAATTTATTTTTCTCTATTGTTTAGGTGAAGTGGTAGAACATTATGGCTATGGTAGATGTGTAATACTATAGTATACCGTAAATTTAAAGAAGAAAATTTTACCAAACTGTGCCTTCCCCAATTGCAAACGCAAAGCTTGTGTATAACTGCAATAAGCATTTTATACTTATATGCCAACCCAAAAAACTCAAAAATTTTAAAAGATAAGCCCCATTGAGTGACCCTCATTTTGAAGGTCCTGGTAAAAGAAAACTAACAACGCAAACCAGAGGTTTCTATGTCAATCCAGTAAAAAATGGAAGCTGATTGAAATCTTTAGAAATCAGAAATAACTTTCAATTTTATATTCAATTGGCTGCCATATTTTACTGTGTTAAGATAGAGATCTCTAGTTTGCGTTGATAGTTTTCTTTTATTATGACCTTCAAAATGAGGGGTCACTCGATGGGGCTTATCGTTTAAAATTTTTGAGTTTCCCCCAAAATCCCCCATTTTGAGTTTGAGAACCAAGTGGCTATTATTAGGCTTAAAAAGTACTTCATAACATGCCAAAAAGGTGTGTAGGGTTTAGTTTTCCTAGTGAGAGCCATTACAAAATTTACACAGTGTCTCCAGACTTGGAAAGCTGTAAGTTAAATTTAACTTCTGAGAATTTCAATTGGCTGCCATTTTTTACTGGATTGAGATGGAGACCTCTAGTTTGCGTTGTTGGGTTTCTTTTACCAGGACCTTCAAAATAAGGGGTCACTCAATGGGTCTTTGTGTTTAAAATTTTTAAGAGTTTCCCACAAAATCCCCTATTTTGAAGATGTACACCAAGTGGTGGTTATGCCCAAAAAGTATTTCATAACATGCCATTTTGGTGTGCCGAGTTTATTTTTTCTAGTATGGGCCGTTAAAAAAATAACAGGGGGTCTCCACACTTTTTACTAACCCTGTATATACATATATAAAAATTTGAACGAATGGTGTTTTTAGCCTCTGGGGACATCAAAATGAAGTAAATCAGTCCCGGGCCTAGGTCTTACCATGCTACCTATGGTAATAGCTACTTCCCTATAGGGAAATTCGCTAAAAAGCCTTATTGTTTCCTTACGAAGAAATGTTCACCCAATTATCATTTAAATAAGCTACTCAGTTTATTTTACATACTTATTAACCAACAGTTGGCCCCAAACGCAAATCCCGAACATCAAAATTAAACAGCGAATTCTGTTTACTTAGAAGAGATTACAAAAAAAGGCTGCTTAACAATAAAATGTTTACAATTAAATAAAAAACAGAAATAGGAAAATCAATCATTTTTTATAATTTCTATATCCGGCCAGGGGGTAAAAATCCGGCCAGTACATTTTCAGTTGTCTAAACGCTAGTTATATGGACAGGGGGTGAAATTCCGGTTTTTATTGCTAATCTAATTAATCACGCTCTGTCTATTTTCATTAGACTTCCAAATCCGCGGGGGTAAAATTACGCCCGCGAACAAACTTTTGAGCACTCAGGTTGTCATAGTGACGTCAGCTTTGCCCAGGGGGTAAAATTCCAGGGGGATAAAATTCCGGCGACCCTTTGCCACACTGCAAAGTTGCTTTCCACAAGTTTTGCAATAGACTACAACAAAGTTTTGCTGTCGACGAAGCTACCTCCCCCCTCAGTCTACACATACTACTTTACGGTACAAAAAAATAATTGACTGTGCTTAGGCTCAGTGATAACTAGATTATGAAAAAGGTTTAGTTATTATTAGGCGTTACCAAAGACAAATAGAATAAATATAGACTGTCAAAGGAAGGTTCCACCGCCCACTGCTAGGAGTGCCGTGTAGTTACGGCGCACACCGCTGCAGGCGAGGAGCGCAGGAGCCGTATGCTACCAGCAGACGCTACAGCGGTCTGCGCCGTAGCTACACGGCACTCCTAGCGGTGTGCGCCGGAACATATGCTAACCGCAGCACTGCTGCCGGTCTATATTTATTCTATTTGTCTATGGTGTTACCGTTTAATGTAAGGTATAGTTTTATATTCCAGAAGTTTAAAAGGGATTTTAAGTGTAAATTGCCAAAAAACTGTTGATTTATTATATATCACTTAGGTAACTTACTGAACTGTTGTGTTTATGAGTTTAGTAGACTTCAAGTGTTATATTTCTCTATGTCCAGGTGTCGATTCTGTTGAAGGGTGCGAGCAGTGACGGGGCCGGAGTCTATGCAACAGCTGCAACCACAGTTTGAGGAGGCTACGCCATTCCGTTGTGAAACCTGTGGGAAATATTTCTCACGCAAGGACCACTACAAAAATCATGTGATGTGGCACACCGGTGAAACACCCCATCGCTGCGACTTCTGCCCAAAGACGTTCACTCGGCGTGAACACTTAGTGAATCACACGAGGCAGCACACGGGCGAGTCACCGCACCAGTGTAACTTCTGCTCCAAGAGTTTCACCCGCAAAGATCATATGGTCTATCACGAGCGACAGCACACTGGTGAGACTCCGTTCCCTTGCCAGTTCTGTCCGAAGGCCTTCACTCGCAAGGATCACCTGGTGAACCACGTTCGCCGTCACACTGGTGAGTCACCGCATAAGTGTAGTTTCTGTAACAAAAGTTTTACGAGGAAAGAACACTTGACTAATCATATCCGTCAACACACAGGCGAGTCGCCGCATCGATGCCACTTCTGCACTAAGAGTTTCACGAGGAAAGAACATCTGACGAACCACATCCGTATACACACTGGAGAGTCCCCGCATAACTGCGAGTTCTGTAACCGGACGTTCACGAGGAAAGAGCATCTCAAGAGACACGTTAGACAGCATGCGAGCGGCGAAGAGTTCAACTGTATTATCTGCAGTGCTCCCTTTGCAACCAAGGAAAATCTTGTGGAACATATGTTGACACATCCGAGAGATCGACCGTACATCTGTGGTGAGTGCGGCAAGTCATTCCCTCTGAAGGGTAATCTACTTTTCCATCAGCGATCCCACCAGAAAGGCCTCCCTCACGAGCGCCCCTTCCAATGTGACCTGTGTCCGAAGGACTTTATGTGTAAGGGCCATCTGGTCTCTCACCGCAGAAGCCACACGAACGCCAAGCAGTACAGTGCTCAACAGTTTGATAAAGCCTTTGACAATAAGAACAGCAGTTTTATGTTGAAGCAGATCATAAAAGGAGAGACCTCGGATATGACTGCACATGTCATCCAAACACCCAACTCTCAGGAGCAATATGACGAAAAAGTAAACCCGTTCATGTTGAAAGAGATTATGAAGAGTGAACTGACTGAGATGAACCACGTCTCCTTACCTCATCAGCAGCAGCAGCAGCAGCAGCAGCAGCAGCAGCCTCCGAGGCAGTCTCACATGGTGAATGTAGCGACCCAGGCCAGCTTGCCAATGCTACCTCTCAACAATTCCATACTTCAGCAACCTGCGGAAGTCCACCTCCAACAACCCAATGCTCTGATGGCAGCTGTGACGTAAACACCGCAACATAGTAAGGTAAACATGTGTCTGTGTATCTATGTATAACTTAGTCGGTGTTTTGTCGCTATGTGTGGTAGCTACCGTGTCTAGACTAGAGTAATTTAATGTATTGCATAATATATAGCGACATATATCCAACGCACTCTGCAAGGACCACTGTTATGTAGGTTTACTTATGATGACCATACATTAGGTCTGTCCAACACTTCACTGTACAGGTGCAGAGAAGAATGCCTTTATTAGTGTTTTTGAAGAGTATAGGAACATAAGAATACAGCTTATGTTAATCGAATTAACGTACTATGAGTAGGCTACATTTGTTTTCTGATTTTTCTCATTACGGTAATACAGATGATTTAAATATGCTTATTAAGTAAAATAACTTCTTGATCAGCATCAGCAGTGTTTTTAAATTACCTGAAAGTATAAAACTACGTCAAATAACACTTGTGATAATACATATATTTACACTTATATATTACTGTTTACTCACAAGACGGTAAATATATAAAAAAGATGGTAAGTGGTGGTTGATTTCAATTGGACACTCCAATCATCATCAGACCCAATAGGCGAGTGTTACTTGACGAATTTTTGTATTTCAGGTATTAAGTAAAAGACATGAGTATGATTTAGTACAAATATATTTTGGTTTAATTTTTGCGTTTTTCTATGCCATTGGCATTAAAAAATATAGTTGTTAGGCTACAGTGGTAACCGTGGTCTTGCTTGTTACTATCTAGTGCTCACCTTTGATTAGCTGGCATATTTAATTGATAAGTATCAAAGTATTATAACAGCTGGCTAGTTTGGTGTGGATGTAAGTTATGTATTTTGTCTTGTCATAGAAGAATAAAAGTTATTTGACCAAGTATTACTTTTATAGGCCTACAAAGTTCTAATTTTTAACTGCTCACATAAATTTTAGTTTATCTTTTAATAATAGTTAGTGAATTGTTTTCAATCAGATTATTAATGAAGATTTAACATGTGAATGAAGTGTTTTTATGTTTCGGTTTAAACCCATTTTTTTATATTTTATATCCGTTGAATCTTTAAAGTTTAGTAGTTTCATTTTGTTTGTACCCATTATAAATTATATGATGTAAACTATTACAAAATAGCATAGCTCAGCATACATGAACATGAGTTTGCATATAAGAAAAAACAGCGTAACCTAGATATATTATGTAAATACAAATACAAGATTTTAAAGATAACATTTATATTTTAGGAAATTATTAATTACTTACAAGTTTAATTTATCACATCCGTTGAAAAAATTGATTTTAAAATAAAATATAATAACCTGGAAACAGTGTCCCTCCACATGAGCAAAAACAAAATCCCGCTTACATGGCCAAGAAAATCCCGCTTTATTCCACTGTAATGAAGACTCCAGTTCTATCCGTTCCCGCATGAATTTTTGTTCCAACTAGAGTGATCTTTATCATGAGTCTGTCTTCGAAGCTCTTTAAACCTTGATACAAAGCTGTGCTATAATAATTTAATCAATTGGGGTTAGTTTTAATCTGGAAAACGGTATAAAAAAAAGATCAGAGCTGAAAATCCTGTTTTATCCTGCATCCCGTTATATACATCATACCTTTTTAATCCCAAGCATTATGTAAAAATCCTGTTTTTGGGATGACAATCCCATAAGTGGAAACCCTCCCTAAAAACTTCTGTCCTATCTGTCAATTGAGGGTTTATTGAAAAACATAAGAAGGTGGAAGAACATTTTATGGTGCATAGCCTATTTTGTATGTGTAGTTCTCCATACTTTTCCAATTCTAAATTACATGGAAAAAATGTGGTTCGGATTCCACTATAAACTATAGGTCCCTTAGTTGCCATTTACTGTATGGGCTATTAATTAACAGTCCTGTCTAAGGAACATGTCGGCCTTAGTAACAAGACTACAAGATCCTCATCCTACACTCATCTCCATTCATACTTGGCTTAAAATACCTATCTTTGTATGGTCAGCATTTCAATTAAAACATTAAAAGAAAGAAAAGAATCCTAATTATAAAGTCAAAAGTGGTTGTATAGTTTTAGTTTCAGAAAGATCTCCAATTATTAACATTGATAAGTAGTCTAATACTAGTGCAATGCACTTTCTAACATAAACAACTTCATTGTGCTAAGTTTAGCAGACATTTTGGAAATTTTCAATGCCTGAAGAAAACCGGTTTAGTTTTTTAGTCTTTTGACTGTGATAAAGTGATTTTGATCAATGATTTATGCTTGGATGAGCCCAAGCACTGTTTGCTCTGCAAGAGTTTCTGATTTAACAAGGAAACAAACTTTGAAATTAAGGTAATATTGTGATGTTTTATCGTGTCCTTTTTTATGTGTTTTGATTTGTTTTAGTTTTATAATTTCTTTTGGTTTGGTTTACAAATGATAGTACAAGTCAATGTTTTTTAATCATACAGGAATAGTAATTTGTCATTACATGCCATGGTACCCTATATTTTTTTATTTATGGTTTAGAATATAATATGTTCAATGTATATACAAATGATGTACAAATGTGTGTACCGTATGTAGAAATTTAATTGCGTATAGGTAGACAGTAGTGCTTAAATTAATTACTTGATCAACATAGCTTTATGTCACTTTTAATTGTAAACATAGATTGTTGTCAAGTCATAAAAAAAAGCTTTGTTAATATACTATTGAAACAATATACTCCATACTTGGACACCGGTTGGGTATCGTAATGAAATTGTATTCCAAAATTGTTCGTGACTATATTAGTTTTGTTTAAATTCTGTTGGTTTTTAAAAGCTTAAGAAATGTTTTAATTGGATGGACAATACAACATAGTATATCTAACATTGGGATACCCCATGCTTGAGAAAGTTGATTAATGTATATTTATCCATCTGTTTAAACTTTTTTTCTGGGGGTTGACTGGAAGACTCATTTTTAGTTAACTGATTATCACTGCTTCTAAATTAATCACAGCTCTATATAGTCCTAAAGTTGTTTATTTATACTTGTGTTCAAAACAACAGTCTATTCTACACAAATATGCTTCTAATTTAATTTGTATACTTATGGTATTGTTGTAATTCGAAAGAGATATTGTATTCGTTCATTTGATGTGTTCTGGTGATCTTAGTGATAGTTTCCCGCGATAGCCGTAACACTCGTTGCCATTTCTTGCTGTCTCTGTGAAACCGTGATCATCTCCCAAGTTCAAGGCAATACTCGTAACTTTATATTGCGGCCTCTGCGATACCGCGATCATCTCCCGTGATCGTGGCAACACTAGTGACCATATTTAATATGGTCACATGCGACTACCGTGTTTAAATATGAGTATAGTAGGACCTCATACCTCAAACCTTAATATCTGGAATTTTTCATAATCCTCTCAAAACCGCAGTAAATCAAAATGTTAAAAATACCACTCTAAGTCGAATATTTTAAATATTTAAACTTGATAAGTCAAATCTTGATGTTATACAAACGGAAAAAACCAATTCTATTTGACAATTATGGAGGATAAATTAATCACGTTGATCGTTTGTTTTGCATGTCTTTAAAGCTTTGAAAATATATTTGTTTTTCCTTTGGTTCTAACCAAAACAACAATTTTTGAACACAGCAAATTCAAGCACTTGCTGGGGGCCCATATGTTACTTATACTGAATAATTCAAGTATAAACTTTCTTTCTCTGATATTGTTTTAGTAATCTGCAGGTTTACAGTGTTGAAGATGTTTTGTAAAAATATTTTAGCTTTTTTTTTATTAAAACTCCATGTTCTAGTATATTACGTTACTAGTCCTGGAAAATAAGTGTTTACGAGACGAGTGTGGTTGTTCCCGTGCAAGACAAAGTCGAGTACGGGATTACCATACGATTCTGGTAAACACATTTTGGACGAGTGATGTACGATAGTTTACGCCATACTAATAAATCTGTACAAATCCGTAGCCTATATATTACCACCAAATAAAGGACTAACAATCACTAGTCTTAACCTCTAAGAGAGGTTATGTTTTTGTTTATATCCACTCATCTCCAAATACAGTATATCAGCTGGTTGGTGTCCGGTAAACTCCATTTGGTTAAGCTGGCGGCAAACAGCTGTTTCCAGAACTAAATCCTTGTGTGGAAAGTTCGTCAAAACAGTCTAGTGTGGCGTAAAAAGCTTTATTTACCAGCAGCCACTCTTAGATTTCTGGTGATATTTTATGCTTCAATACTTCAATCTGGTATTTTTACACCTTTGTAACAACTTTTAATCGATCACCTCTTATTGTTATAGTGTATGTAAAGTCAGCTGATGTGAGGTCATTTGTTCAATGTGCTTGGATAAAAATGTGCTCTCTGCTGGATATTTGTAACGTAAAACTCACTAGCCTTACCAAATGTAGTTAGTTATCACAAAGAATATAACTTATTAAATATCGAATGAAAGATGGTCTTGTACGCACCAATGCATCCTCACGTTATGCAGCTCTATGGACATTATGATCTCACATGTTGACATTATAGGTACTACCTCTTTGTTGTCTTTGTTTGTATATAATAATTCCTCATAAATCACATTAGTCATAATGAAATTTTGAATACTCAGGTTTTGGACTGAAGACAGTATACATTATTTATTAAAAGGTTTTTATTTTATATTTAGTTAGTATTTTTACTAGTTAGTTTATTTAGACAACTGATTTTCGTGCTATACTTATGTTCCGATCACTTTTTTTTTTTAGTTTTATCTACAACCGGTTTTGACCAGTATTTTTGTGATTAGTTTTAAGTGAATTTTTGTAAATATTGTACCTTTAGTTAATTTAAATTTGTCATCAATAAATTATAATGTGCTTAGTACGTCTGTTTTTTATTTCTCATTTGTATTTTTATTCATACATTTATTTGATAAGTATTTGTGATATATCAACCATGACAGTTTTGTACTCAGCCTAAAACAATACGTTCTTACAAAGTTTTTCTATAGTCCTATTACAATTCACCAACCCCTAGTAGTAGAAGTTTTATTGCGATTTAAGAGAGTTTACTGGTCGAAAAATTAAGTTGAAACACACCTTGTCCTAAATGTCAATTTTTTGACGATGCCAGATCACACTTCAATTTCTAACGTCAAAAAATTGACAAATGCCAGAAATAGGGTTAAAGAAAAATTATAATTATAAGTCAAATTGAAATTAATGGCCTATCTTGATAAATACAGAAATTACCTGACATCGGTTTAACCAGACTACACTTGGCGGTAATGACATCTCTTTAGCCGGACAATTTTTATCAGCACATCGGTTTAACCGGACTAGGAAGTGTGCGGTACTGAAACAACTGTTCTTGTGGGAAAGATTTGAGACCAGTGATCATGTGTCTAAATACAATGCTCTCCTAGATTTAAGTCAAATACTGTATACAGTACGCATTTAAACGTTTTAACGAGTTTTGGGGGCGTCGGTTTAACAGGAAATTACTCGTCATACGGACTGGCCTCGGTCCTAAGGAATCCAGATAAGAGGGAGTCTACTGTAGTAGTAGAAAGGTTATCTTCCATAAGACCTGTACTGCACGGTGAACATGGAATTGAGTATATGATTGGTTTGGTTTTGTTACCGTTTTATATGGTTGAAAAAGATCAAGTTGAAAACAAAACATTTATTTACAAAATATGAAATCGATACATGCAGTCTTATATGCAACTCCAACAAAACAGTAATCAACAATCTCTAGATATTACTACAATTCAAAAGGCCACTAAAGATTAAATTTATCATTAAGAAAAGGTATACAAGCCCTTGAGTTTTAAGTTAATATTTTCAGGATGAAATATCCAATAATGTTGAAATAAGCAAAATAAAAGTTAATTTAGGTATATAAAGGGTGCGCCAAAAAAACCTGGCGGTTTCTGTTTTGTAATTAGTCAGCTGTTATAAGAGCTAGAGACCTCATTTATGTAGTGAACGATTGCTTATGTTATGCCATTTTTAGGTTATGTTTGGTAAAATATCACTTCGTCGAAAGAAAGTTACTGTCTAGTGGTGGTGTGGCACGGTTTTGAGTAATCGGACCATATGTTTTTGACAAAAGGGGGAACACCCCCCTGTCGCTGTAATATCTCAACGCTATGTGGCAATACTGAGGGGGTTTTTGGTTCCACAACTGTGAATGTTAGGAGGGATAGACATGAACAGCACATGGTTTCAACAGGACGGCGCAATTTGTCACACTGCCAATTATTCAATGACAGTTTTGCGTGAACTTTTTCCCAGTAAAGTGATCTCTTGGTTTGGTAAGACTTAATTTTGTGTGACTGTTGACTGTGGGGCTACTTAAAGAGCAAAGTGTTTGTTTTGAAATTTTGAACCTTCCCTGAACTCCGGGAAGAGATTGCTTCTATTCCAAAGGCGAAGGTGACTCCAAATATGCAAAAAAATCGGAAACCTGCATTTAGGATCTAAGTGATATAATTGTTTATAAATGAAAATGGCATAGTAGTGTGTACAATATAATACATAAAATTGTATTATGTATTTTGTTCTTGAGCTATTTAGTATTAAAACCGGTTATTTTGGCGCACCCTGTATTTGTGGTAACTGCTAACAAATGGTCAACATACGAACAATTTTAAAACTGATAAGCTTGTAAAAATTTTTGAGATTATTTCTGTGCTATTTTATAGCTTACTCAGAGGTTTAAAATAAACGTGTCAACGTCCAACTAATGAGTGTTTCACGAGCTCTTCTCAAGGGAAGAAAACAAAAAATGATAAAGTTTCACAACATCGATATTGTTGATCCACTTGTAACCCTTTACTCACAATTTTCTGTTATCATATTTGAGCAGCATTGTTTACCATGAAAACCAATTACTACCATCACAACCTCTATTCTCAATCTAGGTTCCATCACCTATAACATTTTATCTTAAAACATAACAACAGTTAAAACTAAAATAACATATCTTTGGCAAAATAAATACAACTACACATTAAAACACTAGCCTGTTTTTGTGTGAAAGACAAAGTTTTTACACCGTAGAGACTTATCAAAAGTTGTTTAGTTAAATACAAAATACATTGGTCTTTACTTTTATAAAAATAATTACAATGATCATGTTTTATCATAAACTAATAATTTTTTCTTTTAAGCTATGACGAATAGGGTAGCTATTAAAAGATTCACTAAACGTAACATTTTGATTAGGCTCTAAATAAATACTGCTAAAACTCAAAGTAAAATATGTAATGGAACTTAAAACTACAGTTCCATCTTAAACATGTCATTTTAATACTAATTCCAAATACTAAATAACTAGGCATATTTAGATATATTATACTTTAAAGTAAGTTTCTATTTATAGTTTACACAAAAATGTGTTTTAAATCGAATGAAAACAAATTACTTTATGAAATGAACATAATTGTTAAAAAAGTACATATCACAGCTGATTCATCTATATAGCTTTATTTGTTATATATTCGTACAATACTATACTCTGTTCACAATATGTAGGCAGTTTGAGAGGAAGTCCCCCAACCACTTTTTTCTGCTTCAAAATTTCAGCTGTTGAGCTATTGTTTTAATTATACGATCAATTCGTGGAGGAGATAGATTTCTTCTCCTAAAACCGCATACATTTTGTGAACGGAGTATAACAATATTTTAACTCAAGACTGCCGCCCAGTAATTAACTGTGTTTATATGAAAAAATGAATCTTTTTAAGAGCTTTTAAATGGTGCGATTATTCAGACATCTAGGCCTTCAAGAATAAATTTCACCAAGCACTTAAGTAGTTCACTAACTTCATAAAGGTTTCAAGAAGTTATTCCTCTAGGTAGACCAAACTTAAGTAATTTAAACTAAGTAACAATTTGAAAACTAAAAAAAAGAGTTATTAATTATCACACCGCATAATCAAAATTGAAACTATTTCATCTACACTATCTAGAGTGATTGGTCTATTATCCAAAACTACAGTTCAGCAATATATTTTCTAATGTACAAAAATGCTAATCTAGATATACTTTCAAATTTTTCCCAAAACAATCAGTTACTTTTGAATCCAGATAAAAAAAGCTCATAAATTTTGAGACCCGTCAGACAAGACTTTCAATTAATCCTTCACTAGAAATTAATCAGAAACCTATTGAAAAATTAGAAAATATTAGATTCTTAGGATTTGAAATTGACAAAAATTTAACTTGGAATACTCACGCAAACATAGTAATTAAAAAAACTGTATCTGGTCTATTTGCATTAACTAGATTAAAAAATCTTCTTGATCAAGTAACATTAAAATCAATATACTTTTTGTACATACATTCTGTTATTTCTTTTGGAATATCTCTATATGGCGCTACATCTATCAATAACTTAGAAACAATCCTAAAATTACAAAAACGAGCTATAAGAATTATTTTGGACCTTGACTCGAGAACTTCAAAAGAGCATTTTAGATCATTAAAAATAATGACAGTATATGGATTGTACATCTATGAAACAGTTCTATATGTTAAAAACAGATTTTCTCAATTGGCGTTAACTGGTGAAAACCACCACTACAACACCAGAAACAAAACCAACATTGCTCTAGAACCGCCACAGATTAGAACTTTACAGTAAAAAACCAAGTTATACCGGCTCCAAATTTTACAACAAAATTCCAAATGAAATTAAATCGGCAAAGAGCATGGTGGGATTTAAGAGGGGTCTTAAAACATTTCTCATCAACAAGGTATTGTATTCCCTTGATAAACTTTAAAATTTTAGAAGGAGCGTTAATTTTTAATTTGTATAAACTTACGTTAGGTTTTAAGAACTTTGTATCTATATAATGTAAGGACATTAGAATGACACTATTCATGTACTTTGTGCTTTATTGAATAAAGAAATATTGATTTGAATTGAAAGAGCTAAAAAAACTCTATGGTTTTTTATGGTTTTAACTACCATAAAAATTGAAGAAGTTAACAGTTGTTGTGGACAACATAAAAAGGTGGTGATTGCAACTGCAGGAAGGAACACTAGTTTAGAGTTTGAATACTTCACACAAGCTGTTGGTTTGTAAAGTGATGTCCTAGTCCAGAGTGTGTCAGAGTGTGTCTTAATTCAGTTTTTCAATCAGCATTATTAATTAAATAAGTTGTGTTGCTCTATCCCTTGTTTTGTCTAACTTCAAATAAAATCAATTGTTTGTTTGCAAAGTTAACACATAAGTTACATAAATCAATGTGATTTTAACAAATTTTCATACGGTTGGATTTACATTTTTCCACTTCGGCATATTCCATCCCAGGACGACCATTTGGCCGTCAGCGGCACAAAATTCCCTCGAGAAGTGCTACCTCCAGATATTCATCACAGCACAGTGGTTTGAATCAACATTTTAACTCTAAGCTTTAAATGTTAATTACGATTAGTCTAGCAGTATTATGCTTGGCTGGTTATTTCCCCTATCGGTACTAATTCAACTCTTCAATGACAGGTTAACATCCAATCAGAACTGCATTTAACTTGAACGCCTAAACCTAAGACCTAAGTCACTGACTTTGGACTGATATGTGTTCTGGGCTGCTGTCTTACAACATATGTTTACGTAACAGGTGATGTTCTTGTTACTACTATGGAACGGCGGAGAATTAATATGCAACCGGGACTCCGACTGTTGCAGTAGGTAATTCATCTACACACCAAACGTTTCCAGAATGGTGAATTCTTCTATATTTCTTTTCATTTCAGACCAATGGACTGAGTCAACTGAAACATCACCATCAGTGTTAGGCTTGTATTTAAATTAGATTATTGAATCACAAACAATTTACCTAATTGGTTTGGATAATTTATATTTTGATTTAGATGACAATAGAGGAAAAACTTCAAGATTTATACTAAGCGTTAAATGCATACCTGTTCGTAAATAGTCCAGGCCATTGCAGCTATCAAAGTCCTACGTAACATTCTAGGAATCAACCCCTTGAAGTAACCACAGACACCGTATTTCTGCAACACATTGGCATTATGTACAAGTAAAAAAGTATGATTGATAAGATACTGCCTTAAAATAACATAAAACTTCCCCTCCTATGCGGGATGCAAACAGTACCCGCAATTGATACAAAATTACATTACAATTTTCAAACATGCATATTGTAGCAATAAATATTATGTCTGTCCCAGGCTATCAATGTGGACTGTCTTTTATTGTAACAAAAGGCCTGTAATTTTAATGTCAATGCCTGTCTTTTTAATGTATATTGTTCATTGTAATTTTTGTTTGAGCGTGTGAGTATCATGTTCGATCATCCTACAGAACAAGGTTTCTAACTGAACAACTCCACAAGTACCTGAAACTAACAACGGTGTTCCAACACCGAAACAGGTACTGAACAAACATAATGTTTTTGAGCTTGTGAATATATTCCATATTATTCTTCGATTTCGGACTATAATTACATTTTTTTATGTTTTTAGTCTTACATTTAATGGATTTTGGTTAATTTTACCAATCTTGAAGACTATCTCATCATGAAAATATTCAAAAGTGTTCAAATAAAAAACCATAACACAATAGTATTTGCTCGTAACATATTTGAGAAACTACAAACTAGGTTTTTTTTATTTAATGGGATAAGGAATTGTTCCTTGTACACACCTGATAAACTAGTACCACCACATTCGGAATACTCTTGTACTGCTGTGGATCCAACTGCATCTTGGTCTTGATGACATCGGCCGGTTGTGTCACCAGAGATGCCAATGCTCCAGCCAGTAAACCCACGGTGAAGTGGGTGGCAGCAGCCATCTCTCCAGTGAGCACTTCTGTTGGCATAACAGAACAATGTGATTTCTTATTACAACAGACTACTGTTATCTTCTACCAGGGTGTCCACAAAAAATGTTTCATTAATTTCCATGACTTTCCATGACTATCCATGACCATTTACCATTGATTTCCATGACTCACGAACTTTACACGCAAGTTATAATATAACGTACACACACAAATATAACTGCCTGGACATGTTATTTTGCAGAAAATAATTAAATATGTAATAACAGATAACAATGGAGTACAATAGGTACAACAATGAACTAAAACAAACCGAAAAACTCATAAAATAATACAACTGTAATAAATTGAATTGTCGAACATTTGTGAAAAATACTGAAAAATGCTACAACAGTTCGGGTTACGGCTGACTAGAGCATTAAATGGTCCCCTCAAATCCATCCATAATTGGAAATTTCCATGACTTTCCATGACTTCTTGCCTATTTCCCTGACTTTCAATGACCAAATTTTTTTCCATGACTTTCCATGACTATCCCTGACTTTCCAGAATGTGGACACCCTGTACACACAAGAAATGAGTTGTTCCAAAAAAAGAATCCTGATATCGTGGTTATGAGCATTATTGAGGGGGTTTCAAGCATCAGATATTTTATGTATTAACTTGCATAATTTACTGGTTCTTTGTATAAAAAAAAAACTATCTACAGGTTATCCAAAAGTATTCTTTAATTTTTAGTGGCACGATCCTATTATCTGCCTGGAACTTTTTCAAAAATGATAAGTTTTGCTTTTGTCCCATATTCCTAAATGAACTCTTATGCCAAATGTGTTTTTCTTTTCCCAATAAATACACGTTTTGAATAGTAATAGCATAGACAAATTAAATATAGACTTGACAAACAAAGGTTCTGTGATGTGCCGCTAGTGTGTGCTCAGTGTTCAACGATTCGCTGCCGACATGGACTCACTGTCTGCTACCAGCACTACCACCCTAACAAACGTATCAGACCTACTTTTTAATATGGGTAAAGTTCAAAATTCTGAAATCCCGTAACTTAAACGGAAAAACCAATTTTCCCGGATTCGGGGAATTCTTCAGAAGTTGGCAGCTGTGCTCCAACTACCAACTTGTCATGATAATGCTTGCTAGCGCTTGACGCTGCAGCAGTGTGTGCCGAAACTACACGGACCCCTAGCGGTGGACGCCAGAATGTATGCTAACCGCAGCACAGCTGTCGGTTTATATTTAATTCTTGTATCTGTGGTAATAAGATGCACTAATCAAAAGTTTACCTTTAGGCAGCGTCTGTTTTATCTGGCTGTAAAACACCAGATATAGGCCGGAGAATGGAGCGTCACGGAACAGTGTAGGTAGAAGACCACAACTCAGTCCTCGGACTCCCTCTGCACGGTAGATATGTCTCAGGGCATCCACCACGCCATGATACTTGTACTCTCCACTCTGAAAACATCAACCATACCATTTTAGACTAATCTGTCAATCGTCCTAATATTACACACAATAAATTGGAAGTTATAATATGTCACTGTCGTTGATAGCATTTTCAACCGAGTAAGTTTAACGGACCGTAGCCCACTGGGTTGGTAATATTATTGAAAATAACACGACATTTTGGCTGTAAAAAATGGCACAATGAGTAAATACTATTTAAGCAGCTAATGTCATGACAGAAAGGTCATATTCCTTTTAAACTAGAACACATCATCCTTTATGAGATATGTTGATTAAAAATGCATGTAAACGTCAATATTTACGTAACAGCCAATCTACAGTATTTTTTGCTTTTTGTAAATGTCACGTTGCTATGTCATTTGCATTATTTGTTGCCAATGAAGCCACACGACCGTATAAACGAGGAAGCCCCTAACAGTTCAAGAATAAAAGCCAACTTCACTTCAAGTAGGCCTATATTCCACTACACCTAACATTCCGTAGAGAGATTATATTGACAACTTTATGTAATTGATAAGGCTGAGACAACTAACTGTCATCCCCCATTTCAAGGAATTCCAGCTTTAATAGTAACCCCACAACCAATTTCTCAAAACTATGATATAGGGTTATTCATGGCACAGAAGTACGACATGAACTGACGCGACGTGACAAAGGAAAAATCAAACTTACACTGTAACGGATATGCCTCCCTTTGAAGTAGGAACGTGTCTTCCTAACAAACAGATTTTTTTCAAAACAAATCATAGATCAATCTGCATCACAGTGATGAAATCACAGAAGTGTTTAACTACAAAAGATCCACCAATACGATTTTAATACTACTTAAAGATTATTCCAAAGGAAGAGATACCAGATAACATACTAATAATAACTCCGAACCATATTTGGTAACAAACGCAATTAATATCATTATTGCTTTTATACTTATTACTCTTTAAACAATGCTAAATGATCAAAATATGTATAACTAGCTGTACCCGCGGGCTTTGCCCCGTTTAACTTCATAAGTATTCGCATGGCTCATTCACGTCCTGGTTGAAGTTCGTTCGCTCACTCACCTTTAGGTTGGAGCTCGTTCGCTGCGCTCACTTGCCTTCAAGTTAGCTCGTTCGCTACGCTCACTCACCTTTTGGTTGGAAATTAGCTGTTGTCATAAATAAAAAAAAAAACTAATAGTGCTGCACCCTGTAGGTAATCCTTGTACCTTTTATGCTATTGAACATCATAGAACAGAACCAACTTGTTTAATTGAAACAGCTGTTAAGATTCATTAATTCCTTTTAAATATGAAAAATCATAAGGTTAACATGGGGAACTACAGAGCCACTGGGGCGGAGCCCGAAAGGATTTTTGAGATAAGAATATGCTTTAATGTTAATCGGGAATGTGAGCTATCATCATGCCAAATTTCAGCCCAATCCGCCCAGTAGTTTGTGCGTGATTGAGCAACACACACAAACACACACACAAACTCACAAACTTTCAGATTTATAATATTAGTAAGATTTCACTCAATTTATCGCAGTTAGATGAGTAACGTAAGCCTTGAAAGTAACCGTCAATTTCGACGGGTTTCACCTAGTAGTAAATATTTCATTTCAACCAAGTCAGTAAATGTTATTAGCACATGTTTAATTAAATTTCAACTAAAATATTAACAACAATCAAATTATCCAGCTGATCATAATGTAAACAAATATGTTCTTCATAAGGATAACATGGGAACTTTAAAAGCCACTGGGGCAGAGCCCAAGGGACTTAAAAAAAATGTAAGGTCAGTTTGCAAATCTACACACCTAGACGAACATTTTGATATTATATAATATGTAGGGTTAAATCTTAAACAAAAAAGCCTTATTCTCGCTAAAGTTTCATGTAGCGAATTAATAATATAGATTGAGGTACCTCAACACGAGTCTTCACTACAGTGATGGGGATGAGACAGATGCCGCTGATGGAACGAGCCACGATGCCAATCATCATTGCCTGTGTAGCTGTCGGTCGCCCATCTGTGAACTTGGACTTCATCCAGTGCATGGAGCCAAAGTACAAACCAACCCCTGGCACACACCTGGTCAAACTCTGGAACAGGTGGTAAGAAATAGAAAATGGTGCATGTTGACTTAAGTTTCTTAAGATCTTCCAGTTTTGATCTTCTGTAGGTAGAGGACATTAGAGGTAGGCTAAGATATTTATTTACTTATTAGTTAATGGTTACATCAATGTTTGACAGGTGATTTGTCTTAAAACTAAAATCTATTGTAAAAAACAAACAACAATAACCAAAATACAAAATACTTGGAAATAATTATAATTTTTTTAGGAAATCTAGTGAATAAAGTGCCTTCTCCAGAAGCCATATCTTAAGTGTTTTCAGAAATTTTTATATGCAATCAATTTTTTTATTGTTGAAGGCAGCTTTAGGTCCCATATATTGTGGGAATAAATGAAATTATTTAGTCTATTTTACATGGTTTTATTACGTTTTTGTGACTGTATCCAACCATCTTTCCACTGGAAGGAGTAGAATCGCTGTGTAGCATGATGCGGACATACTCTGGTAAATATTTTTAAGGTGGATATGAATAAGCGGAAATCACTTTCATGATCTTTGTACAGACTGCTGAAGGTAAAGAGGACAGAAAAAGTGAATCTGACAAATGAATGATGAGGTTGCAGTCCTCAGGTGATCATTAATCAAATATTTTTTTTTCTAAGAGTTTGGCAGCCTCTGCAACTCCCCTATAACCTTAACCTTGCATTTGCCTGTCCACATAGACTACGTATAGATCTGTGCGTGGAACGTATCCAGCAAAGCAAGGGGTGAACTGTACTGATAAAATTTTTGCGGCAGTGACCAGGATCCGAACCAACGACATCGCTGCCTTGGGCCCGAAGTCCGTGACGCTACCAACTGAGCCACCGACTCACCTATAATACACCGTACAGCAACCACAACACTTTTGAAATAGAATATCTTCCCGACCAGTGATTTGGTTACATTTAATGCAGAATGGACTATTTTTAAGAAAAATATACAGTTCCATATAAAACACGGAAACAATTAGGTAAGCCTACTTGAGTTCATAATTTAATGCTTGATACCCATGTGTGAGTAATAAACATAAAAATAACTTAATCCTTAGACATTACTATTTTACTAATTCACTCTTTTACTTACTGGAATCATTCCTTTCCAAAGTGCAAACAGGTGTTCTTTTTGTATAATACTGTTGAAGGTTTCCATCATACCAATAGTGCTAGCAATTCTTGGTCTGAAAAATAAATAGGTACCTATATAAATTCTCTTAAAAATGTTTAATTGGTGACTTTGATACCGGTACCAAGTAGGATAGAAAACCAGGGACTTTGAAACTAATAATACAGTAGCCTATATGAAACTAGCTTGCCAATAGGCAGGAATTGAATTATTATATTAGGGCCAACATTTAATTAAAACAGTCTTAACTTAATTTAATACATTTTTTTGTAATAGGTGTGATTTTTTCATGATAAATTAGGTACCATACCTAAACTGTTCGATAAAAATATTTTTAACACACCTAAGTATAGTATTTAAGTTAACTACCTAAAGTCTACTACTGTGGAAATTTTATCGTCAAATAAAATATTTATTTACCGAGCAAGAGTGGCGACGTGTTTTGTAGACTGTAGACGAGTCTTGACAAGATCAAGAGGTTGAAACAGAACAGTAGAACATGTTCCTGAGATAGAGCCAGCCAGAAACGCCTTCAAGACTGGGGACTGAAAAAGAAACTTATTAGTAATAATCTGAAAGTTTCAAGTTTCCATAGTGTTATTGATGTTGGCATGGCTGTACCACCATAAATAGCATACTTATGTTAAGGCTTCTTATGTTGTCAATTTTTTAAATTGGCTGTAGTTAAGTAAATAGTCCACGGGTCTGTGTAATCTCAAAAACCGTTTTAAACTACATGAGGATATCCCTACTACGTATCGGTACCAAGATAAGGAAATTTTTAAACAGATGCTACACTGTGACATATTAAGTTAGCCTACAGTTTATCACATGAAAACTGGAACTTAGCGGTCAGGTGGAAAAATGTATTAATTGATAAACAGCTAAATTAAAAAAAAATACTGACAAAATCCCCAAAACATTGCTACCTTATTAAAATGTGCACATGACTGAGGCCAATTTGTGTGATGTTGAAAACCCCACCCTTTAATGTTCCTATTTCTTGAATAAGCACAGTAACTTAGCGGCTAGAACTAGACATTCCATTCCTATGTCAAAAGTTGTTGCCTATGTTATAATAAAAAAATTATGTCTAGTTAAATTACCTACTGTAATGGTAGGACGTTTTGGGGGGGAATTTAATTCAATAATAAATTAAATTTATAATAAAACAATACAGTATTGTGTGTTCTAATGTAACTTATATTAGCCTATAACTGATTTCTGACAATTGAATACGATGTATGTGGATAAATGTGGGGGGTAAACTAAAGTGCAGCCGCAAGAACAACTTGTAAAATATGGCAACTTTTATTTAACTTAGACAAGGCCTCCTAAATAGTAACAAAGTCCAAGAAAAGCAAAGGTTAAAAACTGGTTTCTATGGATGGGATGTCAACTTCGGTAGCCAAAAGTTGATAGTGTAACTTAAGTACTTAATTGGACGGAACATCTGTAAACACCATTTTGGATTCCCAAAATACACAAGCCTACCTAATAATGTTTCATTTCAATTAGGCCGTAAGTTAACAAAAAACATAAAACTAAGGTAACTTACATTTCCGACATATTCTTTTAGATCATGGACAATATCTTCTGCCATTATAATCTGAACACACGAGACAAGAATACCATGCCTTAAAGGCCAATTTAAACTTATTTTTCTAATCTTTGTTGAGACATGCAAAATCTCTTCCACTCTAGAACTCTTCCAGACTATGTACAACTTAGGCTTGTGACCTCAGGTGAAACTTTTGGACTAAGATGATCAAATATCCTAGCCTTACAAGAATTGTTAGTTTTGAATATAGGGATAGGCTCAGGTGTTGGTATGTAAATTACTTTATTTGTAGACAAGAAAAACTTTTAACATAGGCTATCAATAAAGTAAGATAGGCGTTCTGTTCATATTTGTGTAGTTCAAGAAACTAATTTTTTTAATTAGATGCAGAGTAAAGGCAATATTTTTATAAATATGGCACCAAGCACTCAAGACCACATAAAATATCTTGTTGACCTCCTTGTTATCACTATCAAAAGATTAACTTATAGGTTATAGTTTTAAGATAAAATGAGATAACAGTTTTCTTTTCTTCAATGTTTCCATGTTGAATAAACACTAATCAGCACACAAAGGAGACCAATCATCTCATGATGATAATTCGAGTACGATTGATTCAACAGAACTGATATTATACATGTAAACTTCACTCTGTGTTAAGAAGTTAGGAGGTATTAGTTTGCTATTTTCATTTTGTCGTCTGCTAAAAATTTTAACAAGCAACAAAGCAACTGACCTTCACCTTGACGTCATTTGTTTACGTTGGTTACCAAAGATAGTCAAAGACCTCTACACAAAAGTTGAATTTGGATTTGTCAGTGATTTGAGATTTTAAATGTATATAGTATATATAAGTAAATTAAATTTATGAATTCCAACAACTTAACCTGCAAATTTCCTATTTAATTGATCAATTTAGCATTCCAAGAGGCTGTGCTTGTGCGGTGTGCTAGGGCGTGATACGCACGCCCAATTTGAAAGCCATCTACGTTATGGAATAGCGGTTTGGGGGTCTTCGGCTCATACTCACTTGCAACGTGTATTGATAGTGCAGAAAAAAAACTTTAAAATCATGTATGATGCCGACTAAAAAAAGCTGGAAAGTTCTAGAGGTTTCTTCAAAGACAATGAGCTACTTACTGTAATCAGCCTCTACATAATAAAAACCATTATTTTGGCCTCAAACAGGAATCTCAAGCGACATATAGAAGTACACAGCTATGAAACGAGAAATAGAACCAACTACAACCTCCCTGCTCGTCGCCTTGGGACTCTTCGAACGTAAGCCTACCAAAGCCGGATCAAGATTCTTCCATCATGCTGCCATCAGGAGAGTTGAAAGATAACAACCCTAAAACCTTGAAAGCTCGACTCGCCCGTTGGTTCTGCAAGATGCCATTCTACAGCATAAAAGAATTTATGGACTGGCATAATTGATTGTATTTGACAATTCGTATGATTTTTGTATTATTGTATTTTGGCGCCTTTCAAATCTCTAAGATTTCGAATAAAAGATTTTCTCTCTGTCTGTCAAGTAGACTTTCCACTTCTTATCCTATTAGAGTATCCTGAATGTTGTCGACTAAACATTTTCTTTATTTAGCCCTATATGTTTAGCTTTTTGGTATTACGGACCGAGAGTCTTACAAACTGATTTTAATTTGGTTCAAATGTTTTCAATTTGGGGTTTTAACGTTTTTTCAACTTTTATTACATTCAACTTATCACTATAAGTAAGTGACCCATCATGTGAAAAAGCAACTCAAGGAGTTTAAGCTTTCCAACTACACATTAATTAACAATATCGATGCAGTAGTAGTAGACTGTTTAGATTTAGTTGTAGGCCTAAAAAGTTTAAACAAAATCTCTAGCTCTGTATCTGTATTGTTGGAACTTTCATAATATACGGAGGCCACCCTTATACAGCGCAATGTGGCGGTTATTTTAGGTTGGGTTATCATATACATTTTAGCGAATTTATCTATAGGGATCCCAATTTATTTCCCAATTTATCTCTGGACCATTAAAGCTTGGGCTCATATTTTATCACAAGGTAAAGATATTGATGCTTTATTTAGATTTTAGACCTGAAGTTGCGTGTATTCACTTGACCAAAGTACATGGTAATCACCCTATTAATAAATCATCTGTTTGGTTATTTTAAAAAGCTCTCAATAATCATCCTGCCCATTTTTAACTCAGCTCCATCTCCATCGTACCGTTTCAACATTAACATTAAGATATCATGACATAATCAGCTGCTGGAATTTTTAGCGAATAATTTTCAGCTCTACTTCCTTTTAACAAAAACTAGACCGATATTTTTCAGTTCTGACTCATGTTGTTGGTTGACGTTGGATTTACATATCTTCTAGTAATCAAAATGACGTCAATTCATACACTGTTTATAAACACATCACAAATGCGTCATTGAGTGAAAATTTAAAAACGTACGTTTTCAGGAAAAGCACTTTGCAAATTCTTTTCCCCTTTTTTCAAAACTTTTATTATTTTTTTTATTTCATTAACATTTGAAGTTTCATAAAATGTCCATGGTAACGCAATATCTTTGGTAGTTTCTTTTTAAAAGAGCATCTTTAGTTGAAAAACACAAAATCCTGTCACGACCATAACGGACGTTTAAATGAATATTAAAAATAGTTAATATTATTTTTATAACTATGTTTTGCTATAAACTAATTTACTGTTATGACCATTATACAATAAAAAGGTCACTGAGCTTTTGGTATATTTGGTCTTTCTAGAAAAAAATAAAAAAACTTAAAAAATTGAAAAAAAGCCAATAAAATCTTTTTAAGTTTGTATAACTCCGAAGAAACTTACCTGAGACCCGAAAAATCGTTATGTTTGTATAGAGGTGTGCTTCTTTTGTGTATAAAACATTGAAATATGACGATATTTTAGTTTTTGAAATTTTTATGATAGAAATCATAAACGTGATGGTCAGGGACAAACGGTACGGTCGTGAATTGTCTGGAATAATCTAAATCTTTCTAAACAATCCTTCAATTATCCTGTTAGTTATAATAAAAATATGTGTTTCAATTGAACTAAACTGTTCAATTTACAATTATATTAAAGTTATTGTCACGACCAAACACACTATAATCCATAATGCTGGATTGGTCGTGAAAAAATCCGCGATGGTCGTGAAACTTTGGTCGTGAAATTACGTGTTATTTGGCTCTGTTCTGGCGGTAGCCCTGCACCTCATGTTCGAGGATACAAAGTGGACTTCTACGTTAATCTAGCAATTGAAATATCTTATAAACAAAAATTAACACCATGTCTACTTCATCGAATGACTACGTACGGTCATGGACACACCAAAATTACAAAAAACACAATCTTTCCTTTATTAATCTTGTAATTCCTCCTTTCAACTCGAAACGACTGGCACTACAATCCTGACGTACACCCCGAACTAGTCTCTAAAACCAACTGACTCCATCGACGCCAGGCTTGCCACTGTCGTGCTCCAAAGTTGAAAATTTTTCCCAAATGGTCGTGACGCCAAATCGAGGGACAGACTTATTTTGTCATGGTAGTCAGTTTGTAATGACAATAAAATTATAATATGCTCCTTTTTTGTAAGTTTAATAACCATTGATGACATAAAAATATGGCTTTATATATTTCGGCATGAATAATTAGTCTAAAAACAGTGTGAAAGTTGGAAAATGTACCCTAGGGACACGTCATGGTCGTGAATTTCGAGACTTTAAAAATACGAAAAAAATACCTAGAACCTATTTTAAACCAAATAAATGTGTGTAACATGTTGCCCCCGTCCCAAAAAATATTAAAACACATAATAATAAACTAAAAATCCAGTATCTACGAAGTAAAAGGCCAGGGACATGAAAACGTACGTTTTTAAATTTTCACTCCATTACATTAACTGGCGTCGTAGCCCAAAATGGCTAATGCATCTAATCATTAAATAGTGGGATGGTCTTTACTCTGGTTTTATACTCTACACGTGTCATAACTGGACATCATGCAGAAAATATTGTACCGGTTGCATACAATGTAGTTAAATTATATAATACAAATTTTTAACTGTGTTTGGTTACATACTTTAATCGTTGGTATTAGAATGAATGATTTGTACAACAAAAAATATAATGTTTACATAATTGCCAGGTTAAACTTGTGGCAATTTGTTTTGGATGCTACCAAAAAGCGGGTTTTCTGTCACTATTTATTCTTAATGTGGGTTCACTGAAAAAATTAAAGCCTTTTGAAAAAATATTCTGTATTAATATTAGAAGATGATAGATTATGTATGAAATTGGAGAAACCCTACAATCCTTCCTTAAATTTGTTTTACACAAGACTGATCTCCATTGAAAACCTAAAAAATTGTCTTCGGTGGGAAATTATTTTAATATTTGTTTTAGTTTACCTGGTTTACAGTTTTTTTTTTGTGGGGGATTGTTAAAATCCTCATCTTTTCATGGGAAGTAATTTTACTCTGCAAATTAATATATCTCGGGCTTTTATTAAAATTACGATTTGGCATTAAAATAAAAACAGTGTAACAATGAATCATTTCTTTTAAATTCCAAAGACTGCATTTTTCCATAACCACTCAATGTAATTATTCATCAAATTACGCTTATTTCCTTTCCCTTTGAACTTTCTTCACTACTCTCCTACTCGATAACCCTCGACCTCGCCCCCCATGGAGTTCAAGAGTTGCAACAGTTCAGAACCACGTGATATCTGGGTCAATGTTTTTTGTATTGCTCTTCATTGGTGGTCAGATTTGAGATGATCACTTTTTACAAAGAGGTGTATGAAACTTTGGTGAAATTCAGAGAAGCTTGATAAAATACAAATATAATCAATTATGGAATGAAATACATTATTTTAGTAAAAAAGGAAATAATGAGCTGTAAAAAATATTAATCGATTACATAACTGCTCCTGATTATATCAATTTCTATTTCGTTTTATATTTCTATAGGTATTCTATTTAGTTGTATTGTAATATTTACAATGTATTTAATTGTTAAATTTGTATTATATTGTAAAGAATTTTGTCTGTAAATAAATAATTTTTCATTTCATTTCTGCTTTGCTATCTTTAGCTAGAGACCAACAACATTACCATTAATATATTTATAGCTTTAGATTGTTTGATATTATACTCTGATCAAGATCACCTTCCCTCCTTGAATTTTATTCAAGATCCTCAAAGGAAATTTAGTGAGCAAGAGCTTTAATTTGATACAATACAAGTGTAGTTCATTATGGTACGGAAGCCCAAACCCGTATAACCCTATATCATTGACAGATATAAAGTCGATGCCTATATTCTGTACGATGGAACCTGTCTCCTGACCTGGAGGATGGCCAATAGTTTGAGACCCAGGCCAGTCCAAGGTAAATGGAGGGTCAGAGGACAGGTTCCATCACACATACTATATAATATAGATATTTTGCTTGAAGATTATGCTAGGCATTTCTAGTAAACCAATATTTAAGCAAATCGATAGCTTAAGTCCAATATATTGCCACTGATATTTGTAGCATTTAATAAATAAATATTCGGGCCTTTTTCAGAAAAGGGCCGCCACTTTTTTAAC